TATAGAAAAGAAGACTTATTTCTAGCTTGTTATGTAACTAGTTTTGGTCAGTGTACTGCTTTCTATAGTTGAGTTGGTAGTAACGAGCTTTTAAGGATGGCTCTGAAGGAAGATAAGTTACATGATATTTTGGTCATGTCCCATACCTAAGTGGTGCTGCAAAATTAAGGTATAACTGGCAGCTGGGTGGTAAAGGGGTAGTTCTTGGAGCGAACAAGGATTTACGTCCTTAAGTTGTTAGATCTGTCGTCGTGGTTTTAACTGTGGAGCTTTAAAAAATAGATGTGGAGTTGTAAAAGTGATTTAAGTGATTAGAAAGATGGCATTCCCATGTAGTCTGGAGAGCAAGATCATGAATTTAGAAAAGAGGAAGTTGTATTGGACAATATATAAAGTAGGGATTGCTTGAAGTCCTGGTTTGATGTAGTATGATTTGGAAATGCCTGGGTTTTGGTGGTTTGAGGAGATGGCTGATTAGAAAATGTTGTTTGTGCTATGGGCATGACTTGTAGGTTTAGGATGGTCGCAGAGCGAGAACTGTGGAGGAAGTCACTTGGTTAGGGAGAGGCAACAGTATTTCGTTTTCCAGGCTCTCTTAGCATTGTTAGCACAGCTGCCAAGAGGTTTTGTTAGGAAGACCTAGTTGAACTGTGTTGTAAGTCAATAGTATACTTAAGGAATTAAAATTAATGCTTAAGACTTCATGATTGTGAATATATTGCTACACTGCTGCACTTAGAAGAGCAATCATAAACATATTTGGAGAGGACAGTTGTACAAGGCAAAGCTTAGAGGCATATAGAGAGGCTGATAATGTCAAAGGCTACTGAGAATACCAGCAAGACTTGTCCTCAGCTCTAAGCAGGTGAAGATTGTGAAAAGATATACCGAGGGTAGTCTTTTGGGGCCATTGGATATGGGTGCTAGTTCGGGGAAAATGAGGAAAGGAGGCATAAATAGCTCAGTTTAGAATTGGGAGGAAAAACTGACCCAAGTGTTTGTGCCAGTCCTTATAAAAAAGGAATATTATTTCCTTGCCTATATTTGGTGGTTTTAGCATCACGTTAATCTTGGCTCTTATGTATTTCTTCATGTCTCTCCTTATTTCCTGCAATGCAGAGGAAGCCAAATCTCCAAGTAGACTCTTACATATTTAGTCTAGGTGTGTTATTTTTGTGTTTTAATAAAATAGATGTTGTTTGATCTGGCTGAGCAAGGTGAGTTTGTGTAGCTGGCTTTCTAACATTATTAATCTCTCCATTGATCTTTGCCTTAGTATTTAAGAGACAGGAACAGATTTCTGCCAAGTTCTTCCTAGAGCTGTACTTATAAGGAATGATTCCTCTAGAGAAGAGAAGGCTCAAAAAGACACACAAATCATCATAGGCATAAAACATGACAGCAAAAAGGAAGAGAATGAACTGTTTTTCACCAGCTCCAAAGAACTTCAAACAAGAACTTAGATCAGAATTTATGAAGTTAAGAGATTAGAAAAACTTCCAATAGTAAATATGACTGAAGACTAAAATGAATTTGAAGATCTTGCAATTTGCCTTGGACGTGCTTTTTTTGAGAACAGCTGTACAAACTTCTGTCTGGAGCAGTTTTGGTTTGACAAATCCTTGAGGTCTTTGTTGGTTTTGTCTTCCATGTCTTAAATCACATACTATTCACAAAATTCTGAAACTTGCAGTAGTTCTTGATCCACCTAATATGTATATATTTTTTAAATATAATTTTATGTATTGACCTGGCCAAGAAATTCTCATCTTGGCATCAGATTTTTCTGCATAAAAGTGGTGATTGGCAATAATTGTTATTTTTGGTTTGTTTCTTTTCTGAGTCTTGAAGCAGATATTCCAGTTTTGCTTAAGATAGAATTCAGATTTATGCTGGAATCTTACCTTGCTTATTTCACTTCTTAAAATACTCACCATGTATTAAAAAAATTACTAAAATCTGATGCAAGTTTACTTAGTGTACTTTGAGATGTTCTAAACTGTATTGATATGAATTACTTGCAAAATAATTTGTCATTTTCACTTCTAAGTATATAGCACAAGTGTGCATTGAATGTTCTTGCCTCTTCTTGCATTATTAGCAATTTTATGATCTGTAGCTAGAAGTCAGCATAAACTGCTGGTAAGGCTTTTTTTTCTCTTTGAATTTTTCCTATTGCTTGCTGAACACAAGCATGTGAGCTACTACCATCCACATGATCCTCTGACAAGGGGTTCAGCAGGATGGGTTTTTGTCTTCTTTAGTTTTGTCGGGGTTTTTTTGAACCTGTTATAGCCTGGTTTAATTTGATGCCTTCCAGCTCTTGCTCTGTGGGAGTCACTGCATTGCCATCCTATATGCCACTCCTGTTTTCATAGTTATATTCCTGCTCCTTTTCCCTCCAAATTCTGTGTGTTATGGCTGAAGAATAAGGTCTTTAGCTATTTTTATGTGGAAACACTTCCATACCCTCTTCCTATGCATCATTTTGCTTCTTATGGGCACTGAATCTTAGTCATCTTCAGCCCCAGAGTCTGTCCACAGTTTCCTGATCGTTCCCTGTTGCCTCCAGATCCCTGGTGATGGTTAGCTCATCCTGAGGTTCATTCTGGCTGTTGACAAGGATGGTCTCCCCCATCCCCATTTCCTAGTACCATTCTGGTTATAGCTTTCAGATTTTCCCCACTGTGGTTTTTAGGGTGTCCGTTTTCTCCCCCCCAGGTTCTTCAAAGGCTGTGTGAATAATGGCAGGGTTGTCTTCATCACCTGTACGGCAGTTGGACTATGGCTGTGGTCTGTTCAGTCCTACTGCAGTCATCTCTTCTGTAGTGGTCTGGCACTCTTGACCACGGGAGAAGTGGGAAGTCTTTCAGCTAGGAAGCCAAGTGAAGCTGGTTATGCTGCCAGCTCTCTTCTGATCCTCAGGCTGAAAGCCTGCAGATTCCAGTAACTATTGACAAGGCGATACAGGTTTAAATGTTTAAACTGTTCTACATGTACCTGAAAACTAGAAACCTGACTGGATTAGCGAGACCCAAATTACCTCCCTTGCAGAGGGAGAGCTGCTGTTGTATGTGTGGCCCTGCTATCTCTGCTCAGTGCAGATGAACTGCCTCTGGCCCTGTGGATGGCCAGAGAATCTGGTTTGGTGAAATTGAAAAGATATGGGCAAGAGGTTTGTGTTGTGAGGTACATGGGGAGGATTTGGTGTAGCAGAGAGAGAGGACCAGAGGACACACGCAATGTAAGCTGAGAAAAAAATCCCATCTTCAGTGCTGCTGCTTGCAAAATTGCTTTTGTGGTTAGTGTGATGCAGGTAACTTGTGACTTAGTTCTTGTACTTTTTTTTTATGGCTGTCTCCCCTTGAAGGGGAAGAAAACAGTTTGAGTGACATTTGGAATACTGTTAAGTTTGAAAGTGAGGGTTAGCATAAAAAAGGGACTAGGAGTAATGGGTATAAAATGTCGAGTGGAGGACTGAGGTGTCTACCCCTTGTCTTTATGTATGAATAACATACATGTGTTGTAAGTGCTGTGGCCAGTTCCAGAGAGCCTTTTCATGCTCTTCTGAGCCAAAGAGGTAAGAATAGCAGAATGCTAGACTTGTCACCAAAATTTAAACCAAAACATTTCTTTAACTCTTCTCTCTTATTCTATGGGATTTTAAGTTAGTGTTTGGGTCTGTTAGTAACAGCTTCATATTAAAACCAGAAAATTTTGAAAATACAAAAAATCCAGCATCCCCAGCTTTACCTGACATAATGTTATCCCTATTAAATATATTTTGAGTATTTTGAGCCTAAATGATAGTAATTTCTTGCAAGATTTAAAACTTGAGTAACCTCACTGAACTGAAATGAACCTGCATGTTTTGCTGTCTTTTAATAATTGCTTCTGTTTGAGGACAGGCCAAGTCATAGCTGAAGAACTTTGGGCCCTTAAGATTTAATAGCTGCTGTTTATTTTTGAGGTTGCTGTTTACTCTGGTTTGCATGGACCTGGGCAATGATGAGCATTTTTAGTCTCTCTTCATTCTACTGAATGCTTTCTGAGAGCAAGCAAAGGTTATGTGCTTCTGAGTGACATCTTTGCCTAACCGCTTGAATCTCCAGATACTTCACCATAAGACACCAGGAGGCTTGGCCCACAGATCGCAGCTGGGAGAACGTCTTTGGCCTGCATGTTATCCATGGACTATAACTTAGTCCTTTATCACAATATAGTTGTTCAGGCTCAAAACCTTTAACTTTTTCATTCTTCAAATGTGTGCAGAATATGGTAATGCTTAACTTCTGTTCTACAAGTGGAGACCTGCAGTATTAAATGATCTGAGGAAATGTAAAGAGTCTGGCAGAAGTTTAGCAAACATAAAATCCCATTAGAGTGTGCTAGCTATCCTATCACCACCCTCCTTGAAATAGATACGCAAACTTTTTAATTTACAAAAGAAAACATTGGTGTTGCTTTTCAGATAATTTACTGTCACATGAATATGAAAGGATTGTGTCTTGTGAATGTTATAATAATGAATTTCTGTGGAGAATTTTATAATCAACCCCACCTCCCTCAAACATTGTCTGAAGAAGCAGTGAAAGGCAGTTACTTACAGTAATTGTCTGTTTAATTCTTATGTCTGAATCTGAGGGCAAAAACAATTAGCTGTCCTTTAGGCCTTGAGAGAAGGAGGAGTTAAACCCCAACAACCCCATGGCTGGCAAAATGCTCTTTTGCCAGGGACACTGACATTTTTAGCTAACTTTCAAAAAAGTGTATTTGCTCCAACCGGTGCTTTTTGTGGGGAGGGGAAGCTAATTCAGTCAGCAGGTTCTGTTACCTGGTTTGTGTGTATTTTAATTGGTGTCTCAGCAGCAAGCAATTCCTTCCGCCGTACTGTGAAAACAGTGGAATTTAAAAAGGGATTAGCAGATCCTCTCACTAGGACGACTGCTCTCTCATGTTGCAGCCTTGCATTGAAGGGACGTTGTCTTTTCTGCTCCCAGTCCCCTGCAGAGCAAAAAGGTTTGTCGGATTCAGGCGAGGACCCCCAGGGAGAGGTTGAGCCCCCCCACCATGGTCTGGGTCACAAAGAATCAGCTGGTGAGTGCGACTCTGAGCACCCTGCTCCCGCTGTTGCCTCAGTCAGTGCTACCCCGAGTCCCACTTCTGAAGCCCAGCTTGCTCCTATTCAACAAGAACTGGCAGGGGTAAGTGTGAACCTACCAAGTACTTCTGCTGCTGAGGGGATTAAAGAAAAAAAAGTCCCTTTAACTAGGAGGAAACTGTTACTGTTAACTTTAGGTAGTGCAGCTCACTATCTGTCTAGTTCTTTGATCTCAAGCGTTAGTCTGCTCTAAGCTGTTGTTCCAATTAGTAGAAATGAAATTTGTTTGGGACTCCCTAGTGGGTATAATTATAGAAGATGCATCAAGTATTAATTTTAAAATTTAGGGTGTAAACTGTGTGTTTGTTAAGGAAAAGAGCTCTTCTAAATGAGTGAGAAAGTGGGTATATATGAGGGATTTGCTTCAAGCAGTTAGAGAAGGATTGTTTATTCCCTCTGAGCCGTAATGCTGAGCTTGATAAAGTGAGCAGCTAATGCTGTGTTTCCATTAGATATAAACAGGAGCTTGTCATGCCAACCTGTAATGTACTTAACAGATTAAAAGCAGCAAGAAAGATGCTAAAGCAAAATTTTTCAATTTAGGTACTTGGGGGGAAAAAAAACCCAATCAGTTCCTAGAAATAGGAAAAGCTGTCAGTGCTGTTAATTTAAGATTTTTCTACTGGTGGTACAGCAAAATATTTTTTGAAAGGTTAGATGACTAAATGACTACTACCATACAGTTTTTTGGAGTGATTTTACAAGTGTTCCTATCTTTCTGGTTGGTGGAGCGTGTTGTCTTGGTGCAGTTGAATGTCACTGCTCATTGTGACCACACACTAGGCATGTACTCTTTCATAGATCTTTCCCTGTTAAGGCTGCTCCACACAATACCTGCACCCTTTTCTTGCATTAGGGTTTTTTTTGGGGGGGTGGGGGGGTGGGTTGTTTTGTGTTTTTTTCCCAAGAATGGGCCATTTCAAGTAAACCCAGTGCCGAATGGATTGTCATGACAAGGTACAAACAGCTGTAGGTTAAGCACCTTTCAGTGTCCAGACTGCTGCTTGATGACCTGCTGCAGAAATTTTTCTATTTCAATTTTCTTTTGAAGGTTAAAGTTTTCAAGGGTTGATATTTTACAATATAGCTGGTAAATGTAGTCACAGACTTTTATTTCAGTTTTCTGTCATTTGAAATTGCCAGTGTTACTAGAATTGGCTGAGAGAACTGTATTAACCAGACTTTCAGGAAAACTGCAGCAAGTGGTCATTATCTTAGACTTGTTCTTAAAGAACAGAAAATCTTACCCCAGTTAACCCAGGTCTGAAAGAAATTTAAGAACCAAAAATGCTGTTGGGGAATGTATGCAGTAATTCTTGGCTGCATCCTTGAACTTTACTCCATTCACTTAAATTTATGGAATAGTACAGTGCTCGGTATAGGCACGTAGCTGGCCTTCATATGCACTGGCAAATGTTCTTCAAATTATCCCAGTTTCTTAGGGTAAAACTGTGTCTTGCATCGACATTCTGTATATTTCAAGGTATCTTCAGAGTGCTCATACTGGTTTGCTGGAGCAGAAAGCTTCATGTAATCTTCCCAGGACCTCAGGAAGATAGATGAATTAAGACTTGAGTTCTGAAGAAGAGACACTGCATATTTCTTGTTTACTTGGTATTGTGTGTACACAGACAGGCAGATATTTTTGCTAAGACATTAATACAGTGTGGCCAGAGATATGGCCTTTTGCAGAGCCAATTATGATGTCTTGACTTCCAGCTGACCCAAGCGAGCCTAAAGCAACATGTAGCTGTGCCAGCAGGACTCCATTGTTTAAGAGATTCTGGAACAGCTTTTAAGAAACAGCCATGCCAGTTCAATAATGTTTATATACGTGCAGAGTATCTGGATTGCAGACTTGCTGTACCATGCTCTGAAGTCCTTGTATATATGACTTTTTGCATCTTAAATGTATTTTTCAAAGATAAACGCTGTAAGTGTACTCCTACAGATTTCACCTAATTATGCTGACTTTTTTTTGCTTTACCTGAATTCTCCCTTGCCTGTTTCTGCTCATTATTGTGAATAAACAAAAACTGACAGATTTGTTGATGTTTGTGTAAGTTCTTCTCTGTTAGTTTGTTGTAAAGACTGTGTGAGGAAGTAATGGGTATAAAGAAGCAGTGTTTATACTTCAGTATGGGATGGTTAATTACCTTCATCTGCACTTTTAAAAAGCAGTTGGTAGCCTTTAAAAAGGTAATTTGGTTAATCAGAAATGTGTCAGAATTCTAGGAGCCTCTATTTAGGAATAATTGTAACTTTTCTGTAGCTGGATTTCTAAAAGTAGGGGGAGAAGGGAATAAGTGAAAGGTGGCTTCTATTAAATGAGGAGTAAATTGTAGGTTGGATTTTGATGTTACTGGTTTAAGTGTCTCTTCAGCTTCTAATTTCAAAGAACTGAATGGAGAGAAGTTGAGTCACCCTAATGGTTCCTTATAGGATGAGATGGTCCTGGCTTTCATTTCTGGTGTATAATATACTTGTGTAAAACATGTATTGCTGTAAAGTACAGATTGAGTAACCTGGCAGGAGAGGCCTGAAATAGAAGGCTGGACTGCTGTTTATAATCACTGGTTGTAATCTGATGGTTTTGCAGTCTGTCAGGTAAACTGTTTGTCATGCCTATATTCTCCCTATTTTTGTTTAGTCTCCCCAGCTTCTCCCGAATAAGCAATGCTGGTAAGCAACTTCTGGCTGTAGCAGTACCTTACTTTATAGTATGGCTTCATAAGAAAATGAAGCTTGTGGTAATACACTATATCTATGTACCCCCACCCCCATGCCATTTACCTTTAACTCTCTGTCAGGGCTGTCCAAAGGTGCTGAGAGGTATGGAGAGCTTGGCTCTAGATTCCTCTACAATTTGTGGGTAGAGGCAGATGAGAGAGGAGAGAAAACATCTCGCTGCCTCAAGCATTTGACTTCTCATTGCAGGTTATCCCACGTTGTTTGTCATCTAGGTAGGAGATGTGGGAAATAAGGCTTCATTAGGTCATGTGCATACAGCTTTATTTTCTTGAAAGCCTTTCTTCAAGGATGAAGGATTTAGGAATATTTTTCAAGATCTGTAAGAGCAAATTGGTCATTGGTGAAAGCATTATTATAGTGAAAAAACATGAGATTTATCCAAGGTTGAGACGACCTGATAGGTGAATGACCAAGTAACAGGGAGGGAATGTTGACAGCAAGTTTTTTAATAAAAGCAAGGAAACAGCGTGGTGTGTGTCTCTTACTGGATGCTGAGTATAACAAAATTAAAAAATAGCTCCCAGTAGTGTTGGTGACTCTGCAGTGGAGTAACTTGTGTGTATTCTCATTCATTTGAAACCAGAAAATTGAACCTGGATATCTTAAATGCTCAGGTAGGAGTTTCAGTACTGAGGTAGACATAAATGAGGTTCTTTGGCCTGTCTGTGCTTGGGGATCAACCTAAGGGATTACGACTCTTTCTTCCCTGGCCTTTAAATTCCTGAGTCCATAAAAAATTTAAATCTGTTGTTGCATTTTTCTGGTGGGAGTTATTTGCAAGGTCTGTCCCAACTTCCCCAAGCAATAATTGAGTGTGAGCTGTGTGTGAATGGGTAAGGATGGGAGGTAGCATACCAAATGATCTAGATATTTAGATGCCCATGTAGGAAAAAATACATTTGGGAGAACGGGAAGTCCTTTTTTAATTCTGTGCAGCATCTACTTTGACTAGGGTTGGCAATGTCAGTAACAGCTGTAACACTTGTCACGTGGACTCTTGCACAGCTTTAATCTCCTAAAACTGTTGAACTAGGAAGCATGGAAGTAATTCAGAGAGAGTAGATACTTAGCTCTGCTTTGTCTTCAGTAGGATACAGAGTTGCTTTTGGATATTGATGCTCCTTGCCCACTAAATATAGTGATGGTATATTTAGTTGTACTTGATCAGTTAATGAAATTATAATGATGTGATAATTTGAAGTTTGTGCTATACAGGTTTGACTTCTTTTCTGTGTTACTTGAGCATTGAGAATACAGTATGTATTTGTAACAGCTTGAGAAGTTTTTGAAGTTCGGGGGAAATCATTTGTTGATTTTTTTTTAAAGGATTTTTGCACATAGAGATCTGCAGTTCCATTCATGCAAATTTTTTACCAAATAGTTTCCTTTTGCTTTCAGGATTTTTGCTAAAAATTGAAACAAATTGCTGGTGTATGTGACAACCCTTTCTGTGCAAAATAGAATTTTTTCCAACTTCAGATGCTGATTGCTGAAACAGATGACATCATGGTTTTCCACTTTAGCCTTATCTTTTGGGAAACTAGTGTATGTTGGCAAGGGAGGTGCCTAATAAGATCATCTTCCAATAGTGTGGAGTACTTCACCAGTTTTCTAGGAAGAACATGGATCATCAAATACAGTATTAATGCGATTGGGCTGGTAGATATGTGTGGAGGTTGTGTTCCAGAACTGTCAATAGCTTTTCATTCCCCATGCTGAAGGTTTCAAAAGTACTTGACTAGGATGCTAGTGAGGTAGCTATTACTTTCTCTGTTAATGTAAAACAGAACAGAAAACCCCTTAAACTTAATTGCATAGGCAAAATGCAGTGTAAATGGGGTTTTATTAGCATTGAGTGAAATACTGATAGTATGGTAATATCTAGATTCTAAATATATGCAGTGCTAAACAGAAAGTTTTATATTTTCTGGTGTTCTTACATGCAAGGTGTGTCTTTCAGATCATAGTCCTGGGCAGCCTTAACCAGTCCTGTTGTGTGTTGCCCAATCCTTCTGTGTCTGCCTGTTCTCCACGCCGAAGTACGACTAGTTGCAGTGGGGAAGGACGAGCTCTGGGGCTGCAGCAGGCTCTGTCTGTGTGGCCTGGGGCAGGAGTGGGATGAAAGGGTACTGTTGGACTGGGGAGAAGGTCCAGTATGTTAAGAGGTTTTGTAATGACACGAAGATGGTAATGCTGCCCTAGTCACCTTCCATAGGAATCCATCATGGGATTATGTTTTGCAGGAACAAGGGAAATTGTATCAGCTGAGGAACTGGCAGAGCGAGTAGGAGGAGAGAGACCTAGAAGTCCTCAGGAAAGATGTGAAACCTTTGTTCAAAGACTTCTTGAATATTGTGATAGATGGTAGCCTGTGGTGTTTCCTGTTCTGTTCCTGGTACTGTGGAAGATGTTAGGAGCCTATCCATTGCTAATTTCTATCAACATATCATAGTACTGGCTTATAGAGTGCCCTTTGAAAGACATTCCTCCAGTGCTGTCCTTTTGTTGAAGGAACTGATGTCAGTTACATTAGTTAGGAAGAGTGCTTTGGAATGAACTCTCAAATAATGGGTATGTTCATGATAAGCTTGGAACTTCTATGATATTTTTCAAAATCAAACCAAATTTGAAAATTGTCGCTTTCAGATTTTCAATATATAGAAAATGTGACTGTAATAATCATTGCATACTCTCTAAGGATATTAGTGCTTGGATATGAATTTTCAGCTATCTTATTTGTAAATGAAATATTTTGAATTTATATTATTTAATAGTGTCTCGTTAAAACTCAATATGCCTACATGTAAGTCATAAAAAAACGCTTTGCCTTGAGTGTGTATCACTGACAGTAAAGAAAATCTCTCAACTGATGATTAAAACATTTGGATGTGTCTAAAGAGATTGAAATGTTCAGTATGTGATTTTTGTTTTATCGCTGTCATCTGATTTCAGAGATCAGCGGATGGATCAAGTCCAGAAGATGGAGATGGTAAGAGATTTGATTGTCAGATTAAAAAACACAAGTATATGTGTCTCCAGGATTTTGTGCATTTTCTCTAATTGCTTTTTTTCTACAGAATCTGATCGAGAGGATGGGAGCTACTGTCCACCTGTAAAGCGTGAGAGGACTTCATCCTTAACTCAGTTCCCTCCTTCTCAGTCAGGTAAATGTTGCTACACTATTATATATGAGGTGGGTTTCCTTCTTACACTTTTTTTTCCCCAGTCATGTCAGCAGTCTTACTACTGTATGCTGTGCTTTGGCTGAAGACCACAGCAGCTGTGTACTCTGACTTTTTCTATGGTCTGTGTTAGCAAATTCAGTGAAGCCCAAAGGAGTTGATAGATACGTTTTTTAAAATATTTTCTATCTGTAAGTTTATATATATTTGTAGTTTCAGCTTTTAATCTTACACTGTTAAATTGAAGAATTTACCAGAAATCTTCTTGATTTGTTGTGATCAGGTTGCTTCTTAACAAATTTATATAAATGCTACCTTTTTCTTAGTTACTTTGCTGCCAGGCAAATCTTCCAAGTCTCAGGTCGTGCCTAAGTTGTTTTAGTCCTTTTTTTTTTTTCTCCCATTCCTTTAAAGTGGAGAGAATTCAGTGCATTTCAGCAACATTCTCACCTGGCAAATGCAAGAGAGAATGACTGCTGCCTGTTTGTGTATACAGTCAAGGCAGCAAAATCACTGGGAAGGCCAGGGGTAAATTTCTGCAATTCACATACACAGGAATGGTCATGTTTGATATCTGTATTCACCCACAGGAACAGTCTTTAAAATTTATGCCTTCTCTCTTCACAGACAATATGAAGTTTTTAGCTTTGGTCAAGAATTATTTTAGCTGAGATGTCAGTACTAGGAGCAGGTTTGGAGACTTAAGTTACTTTGTTTCTGCCGTCTTAGTTGAAATAATGGAGATGAGAAAAACAGTAAAAAATATTCCTCTAACATACAACACATTTGGGAAGTGTGACTAAAAGATGAAAACCTAGTTATTTTGCTTTTAATTTTAAAGAAATAAGTGATTATGGAATTTAAAATGTAGTTGCTGATATTTTATGGGCACGATATTCTCATTTCATGCTGCCAGTGCTAGTCAAGGGAAGAATCCTGTCTTAAGATCTAGTTTTTCTGGTGTGCAGCCTAGTGGGTTTCAAGGTCTAAGTCCTGTTAATTGAGTACTGTTCCGGGGACCAATGTTGCTGCTCTCTGCATGCCAGTCACTCTTAGTAAAAGAACACTGTCTGCACAAAAATAATGAATAGGGGTTTTTTGTCTGTAGACTTTCTGTTAGCATAACAGACTGTGTATAGCCTGTTAGGAGCTTGCTTACTTATTAATTGGACCTTAGATTCCTAGGTTCCCTGCGGTTACTAACTCTTCTAGTCTGTAATGCCTTTACCTTTTGAAATTACAATCTGTAAAATCTCAGATTTTGCTTAATGCTAACATTTATTAAGAAGTGGAGGAAAACAATTTATTTGGCACTCTTACGGTTAAATGCTAGATGTTTCAGGATTCCATGTACTTTCTCAATCATTTGCTTGGCTAATGCATTTTGACTACATGCAGTCATTTATTCCGTATTTGACCCCCTTGTTCTCTTCTGATGTGTGGTATTGTCAAGCAGTGTCAACTTTGATTGGAATTGCGACTTCCATAAAGGCTTCTTTGAATATTGCTGACAGTATCTGATGGCCTTGGTTTACAGAAAACCTTTCATTTTCCAAACCTCTTAAATTTTTTGTGGGGTTATGTTTCTCTTAAGGGTAGGGAGATTTTGCTTAGATGAAACCTGCATCATCTTTAAGATTAAGGCAGACCATAATAAAAAGAGAGAAGATGGAATTAAAGGAAAGAGGCAAACATTTAAAAAAACCCCAAAACTCTAAAACTTAAATACAAAAGGCAAGTGCTGCATCTTATGGTATAAAGGTGTTCAGAGATGAGTTTCCTTTTTCTTTTCAACATACTTAAGCTTCTTCCACAGCCTCATAAAAGCTAAAAGAGCTGATAAATATTGTCGTACTTTACCTCATGCAAGATGATCTCTTGGAGACAAAAACCCCCAGCCTACTGTTGTTGCCTTGTGACTCTTGATGCATCTACCTCCTGCTCTGGTCATCATATTTCATAAACTGCATTGTCTGTGATCCTTTGTACAACACCAAAAGTACTTCAACTGCTGAACAGGGCCTTGACCAAACTCCTTATTACTCGCTTCTCTAGGTCCCAGCAAAGTGTGGCAAAGAAACACTGTCCTTTGTTCTTTTCAAACTTTTTTTGCTCTTTTGTTGACTGTTATGCTTAAGTGTGACATCTGCAAATACTCTCCTTTGTTTCTGTAGAAATTTTGTCCTTGCAGGCCAGTTCAAACAAGGTGCTTAGCTCTTAGGGCAAACTATGCTATCCCTCTTAAGCCTTTTGAGAAGCACAGATGTTAGCTTCCACTATTTAACAGGCATTACACTCCTTTCTGCCCTCTCTGCAGAGGCCTTTTGAAATGTTATATGTATTTTGTAATGATACTATACATTCTAACATCACTTTTAATTCCTACTTCAGATACAGTTCAGACCGGGAATCCTGTGTTTATCTTCCCTCCAGAATAAATGAAATTTGCTCTTTCTCTGTTTCAGGAGAAACTAAGGGGATTTTATGGACAACAGCCTGTTTACTTCTATGGCTGTAATGCTGTTTTAGTTTAGAAGAAAGAAAAATCTAAAATAAACAAAACAAATTACTAGAAAAATAATTTTCAATTTGCAGCCTTAATATGTCTGGGAACAGAGTTTGTAATTAAGAACAACATACACAACTTTATTTTTCTTTTTCCTTGACTGCAGTAACAAAGAACAATGTCTTTATGCCATCAAGCTTCTGCGAACCCTCGACAGGCAATTCTGACTCAGAACCAGGTGAGATTCCTCATTTTTCTGATTTTTCTCAGCAAACTGCTGTTAGTCTGTCACGATCCAAAGTATTCTGATACTGCAGAAGTAAGACCCTATCTGGGAGAATGGAAGTGGTAATGATTCTGATCTTAGAGTTGTTCTCTTGCTCACTTCATTGCTTGATTTCATGCTTGCTGGAGGTGATTAAAATAACAAGTATCAAAATTCTTAAATGCTTTGGGAGTGGTGGTGGAAGACTGCAATATGACTCTATGCCTGCCTGTTAACCTCAAGATAAAACTTAAGGGAAATTTTCATTTATCTACTTTGGATGCTGGGGGGTTTTTTTGGTACTGAAAATCAAATCAACCATAATCTATGGTCATGATGATGTTCAGCCATGACCTGTGAACTCTGTGTTGACAGTACCGCTTACTTTGTTAATTATTGTCATTCTGCAGTTTGGTTGTGTTGGTATTGCTGTATAGCAGCACATTGTTATCTTATGCCTAAATGGCATGAGAATAATTAAGTACAGTAAGATGGTAAGGTACTGAGTTGTCTTATTCTGAGCACAGCCATTATGCCCCTAAAATGAAACATTTTATAATTATACCTTGTAAGTTCTTAGGAACTTGTTTTGTAATAGCTGTGGATTTATGAATATTATTTTTTTGAGATTTTGGTATTTTATCTGAAAGCCTTAACTGTAGTGAGTGCAAGCGAAGGAATTTTTTACCTTCATGCTATAAAAGTATAAGGTAAAAGCTAATAGAATTACAAGAAACTAATATTAAGCAATTAATTTTAATTTAATTTATGATAATTAGCAGTTGTGTGCTTGTTAGCAGCTGTCATGTTCAGTGATGCTTTTGATTGTCCTTTCTTTAGTTTGATTCTCACTTAAAACCTCTGCTACCTCTGTTAAACCTCTATTAAGTCCTTCATGGAAGGAACTCCATTTCTCTTACGAAAATAATCTGTTTCGTGTTTCTCCTGAAAAACAATTTTTATTTTTTTTCTTGCAACAACTTGTGTTTCTGTCTTTGTGATGTATATTTGCTGTGATGATCACTGGAAATTCAGACTTCTTCTGGAAGAAGGGAATTTGTTCTTTGGAAATCTCCTTATGACTTTAGATATTTATAAAACTTGTGGGTTGCTACAATGGGGAAAGCATGAGGAATTCTATGACTCACTGAATGTATGTAGTATGTTACAGCTATGTCCTTGCAATTTTGTGTTTTGCTTCTAGAGGAAAAGAGCAGTGGATTCCGGCTAAAGCCACCAATACTTATCCATGGTCAGGCACCTAGTGCAGGTGAGTTCAATGTTTTCTGCAGCAGTACAAAGAAACCAGTTCAAGCATCTTATTTATTTGAGTTTCCTCAAACTGCTGTTGTAACTGGAAGGTAGCAGTACCTGTGTTTATGCAGAAAAAAATCTTGTATTCTCCAGAGTGGTTATGCCCATATCCACTGCGTAATGTGTATGGATGCATTGAAATTTTGGCTTGTATCAGTCATGCATTTCTGAAATGTATCTCCCAGTTGTCTCTGCTTAGCATGCTTTGATTCAATTCTTAAAAATAGTCCTGGGCTTCGTGAACTCAATTTCTTTGGTAGCAAACTGGAACAAAAGGAGTGTTCCAGGAATGCACTGAACAAGTTCCAGCCATTAATGGGCACTCAGTCTAGGACAGGCCTAGAGCAAAGTCTGAAATGTTGTTCACTCCCCACTTTCCCCTCTCCCTGACTGTTGATGATAGTGTGGAAGTTGGGTCCTTGACCCTACCTGTTCTGCTGTACAGTTTGGCTCTTAATGAGTTTCCTGTTTGCTGATGTAGACCTAGCCAGTATGGGAAAGACATTAATATTACAGCTCCTTAGGAGTTTGAGGAAACAAACCAAAACTATTTTGGTAATGGAAGCTATTATTTGTTATATATGGAAACTGCTTATTTTGTTTGAAGGAAGAATAGTAAATTTGAAAAAAAAACAAACCAAAAACAAAACACCAACCCAAGTGTTTTTGAGCTGACATGTGAATGTTTGAACTTACGATAGTTGTTATATTTTGGTTGTTGTCATGTCCTTTGAATATGGGTGGCCTGAAATGGAACTGGTTGTAGAATATTCAGCTGAGTTGCTATGAGTGATTTCTGTTGCAGTATTTTATTGGATCAAGAGTTCATCTTTATTTTGTTCAATGAAGAAAACTGAACCTTCTGGGATTGCCATAACCTTACAGAGTTGATATTAAGGTGGTTTTGGTTCTGTGTTTTTTGTTTGGTTTTTTTTTTTTATTAGGATGTTTAAGGTCAGTTGGCTTTTTGAATCAGTGAGGAATTAAAGAGTTGTAGTGCCGTGTATCTTACTATAGCAAACAAAAGAGGCCAGGTTAATTAAAAAAGCCAAAAGGTTGTTAAATGAAACAACATGTAAGACTATTACACTACCAATACATTTGATTGTATGAAGAACAAAAAAAAAATAGTTTACCAGTATCTGGAAATGACTTCATTGGAAGGAGAAAAGACTTGGAATGTGTAGTTGAGTAATATGTCAGTCAAATGGGATTGCTTGTGTACTGTTCATTTCTCTTACATTTTGACTTTTCTGAGTCAGTCATAGACTCTCTATGCTTTCCTGGGTAAGGTAGAAAATACATTTTTAAAGTGTCTTTTCAGGCTATGAAGTTGTCTTCTCTATTTGGGACTAATTCTATCTTGAGGCTGAGTGAGGGATGGGAAAGAAGCGGGTGGAAGCTTCTTAGATGTCTGGTTTTCCATTGTATGTTCTGTTGGAGACAATTACAGAGAAGATTAGATGAAGCTGAATTTTTCAACTTTAAAGGTTTATAGCTCTTGAAAAAACTTTGTACTTGCAGGTCTCCCTAGCCAGAAACCGAAGGAACAGCAGCGAAGTGTGCTGCGTCCAGCAGTATTACAGGCACCACAGCCAAAAACTTTCTCACAGATGGGTGAGTAATGGTTTTGCTTTCTAGAATACTGCGGAGGGAGAACAAAAATACAAAATCTGTTTAGTGTAGCACTTCGTTTTCCTTCAGCATCTGCCCTTGTTTTTCTAGGTTTTTCTTTTCAGAAAAGAAACATCTTAAATGTTAAGTATATCTATGTTATATAAGGGATAACACAGTCAAACCTTCAGTTTTTGTGTAGGATGACTGCCTGATATTGCCAGGCCTCTAACTTTGGTGTAGTCCATGCTTGGTTTTTGGAATAAAAAGACTTTTAAGGGTGTGGAGTGGCAGTCTCAAATGACAGCACTGACCGTGGTGTAATAAGCTACTGCTGATCGATTGAACGGTAGTGATAGACTTCAGCTAGCCTGCACTGTGATGTAAAATGCCTAAATCGCTAGGAGATGCCTTTAGGCTTGGGGACCATTTTGGAGTTGAGACTTCAAGATATGATTTTAATTCTTAAGTTTGGTCATTATATTATGCTCATTGTATTGTTATCAGATTCCTTTGACATAGCTAATAGAAAGAGGCAAGATTGAAAACTGGAAGTTAAAGCAAAAAAACTGTTCAAGGTGTCCATGTCTCCTAAACTCCTATGTTTCCCTAGTACCCCACCTCTTGTTGTTTGGAAGTTCAGTTGAACTGAAACAGAAGTAACTTCAGTTAATGCTGAATCTGGCATAGAACCAAACATTTCTAGCTTGATTTCTTGGCGTGCCTGTTGGCACAGATTGGATTCTACATAGTACTGAATATTGGGGTACAAATTTTCAGTGGGAGTTCAGTATGTAAGTAGCTAGATCAGTCCAAAGAGGAGCCCTGCTGGCTGTGAACAGTATTAGACAGGAGCAGGGTGGTTGTTTGAAGTTGTATATGTTGAAGTCACTGCAGTGTTTGTATAGATTAAGTGACTTTTTGCTGACTTAGTTTTCTGCATTTGGAATTTCGATTCTGCTAAGAATTGCTGAATTGTGGTCCTCGTCTCTTGCAAAATACTATGGGAACTCTGTAGTTTACATTGCAATGTTTCATGGGCTTAAACAACAAAAGAGCATGCAATTTGCTATAGAAAACTTTTAGGACAATCTAATTAGCTAGAGAATTTATGTCATTTTCTCATTCCTTATTGCAGTTCTCAGCAGTGGCACTAACGGTGTAAATATCCCGCCAGATTCTGCAGCCACATCAGAATCACTGAGTAATGCGACACTGAAAAGTTCTGACTCTGAAGACAAGGTGAGTTGAAGAATTGGAAGCACACTCAAGGTGACAGACCTTAAAATAGTATTCTTTGAACAGTGCAGTTTCATCAGTGATAGCCCCCTTATCTATACATATTATGGTAGTACACTTTAGGTGTAGTAGTATATTTTATACTGTCCGAATAGTATGCTATATTTATCTTTACTAACCGAAGAACTGTAACAAAGATTTACTGAATCCACAGTTTAGGATGGTTTTTCCACACCTACCTTCCTTCACAAAATATAAAAAAATTGCTCAGTTCTGCTTCTACTTGTCATTGATTCCTTTTAATCCTTCTAACTTTTTCTAGTCTTGCTGTAAAATCTTACTGCTGCTTGAGTGATGCCATTCCTACCATAGATGTCGAATTCCTGTAATTCGGACATCTTGGTTCAGTGGACTGATAGTCAGAATACTGCTTTTTCATCTTATCAGATTGCATGAAGAAATACAGCTTCCTCCTGCAGATTCATCTCTTGCTCTGTGTGCCGGGAGTCAGGAGAGTAGGGATTTGTCTTCAGTGAGGCGGGGGGAAAAGCTATCTCTTCCTCCAGTGGCTGTCACCAGGTCTGACTGGTGGTCCTGTCAGGCCAGAGACTAGGAAGCATTTACTGAATTCCTGTTCCCATCTGAAATACAGCCATGGCAGCTGCAGCGAAAGATTATAGAGCTACTAATGGAAAGTGGGCTGCAGAGGTGCAGGATAGAAGGTGGTCCTTAGCAGGACAAAAGGTTCAGGAACCTTGAGGTCCTGTGCAACAGTGATGAATAAGCTGAACATGAATGAGTAGTGCATCCTTTTATTGATTAAGAGAACATACTGGGCTGCTTTACTAAGACTGCAGCCATTAGATTCAGAAAAGTTATTGTTCGCCTTTACTTGCCACTGGTGGGTGGCGTCAGGAGTATTGTGTATAGTTTGGGGCTTGCCAATACATGAAAGACACTCAAATCACCAAGGTGACTAGTGGCTGGAGCACCTGATGTCTGATGAAAGAGTGAAAAAGCTGAGAATGTTTTGCTTGGACTAGGGGAGGGGAATTGAATTGTTCTCTTCAACTATCTAGTGGTGGGCTGTAGCAATATAGAATGAAACTTGGAAGTGCCTACCAAACAGATGAGAGGCTGCAAGTGTGGGGAGGAGCGATTCTAGTTGGGTATTAGGACAGAACTATCATATTTAGTGCAGTCAAATGTTGAACCAGGCTAGCAAACTGTAAAACTGCCATTCTTGGATTTTTTGAGACTTGACTGTACAAGGTCTCATGTAGCCTAGCATAATTTTGAAGTTGATGTTGCTTTGAGCATGATTTGGACCAAATGATCGTTAGAGATCCCCTTGAACCTTAACTGTTCTGTGATTATTTTTTTTTAAATTTTTTTGAGATGTTTTAAACAACTGTGGAATTTTTTTTAAATGCAAAATTTGCCTTGTAGCTCCAGAGATGTTATCGGCTTGCCATTGTAAATGACTGTGTGACTCACCATGTCATAACATGTGTGTTTTATTTAAAGAAACTCAATTACCTAGGCTAAAGTTTTCAATTCCTTTTCTTTAGGCAGGAGAATGTCAGAAAAAAGAGTCCAACAGTACTTCAGATGACGACAGCTGTGAGAAGGCAGAACTAAACGCACAGCAAGCATTTGTATTTGGGCAAAACTTAAGAGATAGAGTTAAGGTAAACACATGTTTGTTATCTTGACTAAGAGTTGATGTATTTAAATGAGGATAAGAAGCAGTGGAACAGATCATTCGTTGGCATGAGCATTACACACTGTTTATGAAGTACTTTGAAGCCACTATATAACAGGGTTAAAACCTCCATGTATATATGCAAAAATAGAAGCTGTGAACACAGGTCAATTACTGTTTAGTAAAAAGGTCTTCCAGATATTTAATAAATTAATACTGTTTAGTAGCATAAGAAGCTTTTTCAAAAATAAACATATCTGCTGCAGTCATAGGTAGCATCTAAACCTCGGTGTGACATGTTTTCTCTTACATTTTGGGTCAGAATTAAGTTAAAATGTGTTCCTAAGATGCTCCCATGCAACCAAGACTTCACAGAAAAGGTGAGAAAAGAAAAATGGGGTAGCCTGGGTTCAAACCTGTGCATGGAGTAATTGACTGGATTGTTAGTACCTCCTGTTGAAGACAGGTTTGTGCAGGTTTCCTAGCATAACAAAAGAAAGTATAATACTGGGATATAGGCTTATATTGTTTTATTGTAGAAAGTGTTTGTGGATGGAACTTTGTCTTGAGAAAGAATGAGCTGAAAATTTTGTGGTCAGTAGTTAAAACTGTCAATACATACTTGTTCTTTTTATAGCTAGGAGATGAAAGTGATGAAACTGCCGATGTACAGAACGTTGGCCTTCCTACATCAGATGTACCTTCTGCAACAAATTATTTTCTACAGTACATCAGTTCCAGGTGAGACTACAGGGAAACCTATAGGACAGTTTTCCTTATTCTGTGTTCAAAATTATTTGTGATTCTGCTCTTTATTGGATGCAGGGCTTATACTGGGTCAGTGGGAACCCAGGCTTCTGAAGAATGAGGTGGCAAACTTCAGATCTGGGGGAATCCTCAATCATCTGGTCAAGGGAGATGCATTTGACACCATTTACTTGACCACGTCCTCACCAAAGCCTCTTCAGAAAACTAACAAGCATAAGATGAGAGAAGTCTTCTCATGAATGATTAGAAAGAAACAGTGATGGGATAAATTGGAGCTACCAGTAGAGTCCTGTAGAGATCTGTGCTGTATTTGTGGTGTTCAGTGTTTCATATATGATAAGGGTAAAGGGAAGAATAGTTTAAAAAAAAAAAAAAGGTTGTTTGTTCATGATAATAAGCTTTTCAGAGCAATATAGAGGGCCTGTATGAATAAGCAGGAACCTAACTGTGGGAGGTCTTTGAGAGAATTTCTGATTAGGCGATAGCATCAGAAGAAATTATTTGATGTAGGTATATGTAAAGTGAGGCAGCCAGGAGAAAACTGCTAATTCTATATATATACAGTGATGAACTTTGACAGTCTTCACTTAAGGCTAAGATGTTGAAATGGCTCTGTGAAAATGTTAGCTCAGTAGTGCTCAAAAAAAATCAAGTAGTGTTACAGAAAGATTAGAAAACAGAAGAGAATTTCTTAATACACAGAGCTGTGAATTCAAGTAATAACTGGAAAAGCATGGGGGGGGAAAATCCTGCTGAGAGCAAGAGTGGAGCGACATCTCTGCTCCTGGAAGAATCTGAACTGCAGATCTTTTGAGGCCATGAAATAATTGTAAGAAAAGCACCAATGTGTGCTTGCCTTGTCCTTATATTCTGCATTTTTAAGACCTTGTTGTTCACCATGAAGTAGGCACTCGGCAGTTTTGCAGTCTTAATCCCTTTTGACATTGAGCTTTTCAGATGATGCATTGGAGAGGTAGAGAACACCACAGAGTGACTCTGTGAATGCCAGGTCAATGCCTTTCCAGAGACACTGTCAGATTTTTTTAATCCTATTGACAGACAATAACTTCTAATATGTGGGCTTCAAATAATGGAATATTAGTTTGTATATTTCAACTTGTATGACATCTATTGCCATATTTTGATTGAGTCTTCACTTTGGGAGGATTTATTCATGGTAGGTCAATTGCCAGAAACTTAGTTTTGGGCTTGCCTTTAAAAAAAAAAAAAGGCATCTAAGTGGAGTTGGCTCTGTTTTTTTTAGCTGAGATGGCAAGACATTATGGCCATCAACTTGTAAAAGGAAAATTCCTCCCATTGTGTAACATGCTGCTAGTCCTTTAAAAACTGTAAGTGTGCTAGGTCACATGGCAGATACTGGTAGATCATACTGAGTTCCCAGCTGGCATTTGGAGCGCAGAACTGTGGTATTTAATTCCTGTAGTAGCCAAAATTCCTCCCCCTGAGGACTTCCTCTCTTCTTTGAATCTCCTTATTCAGAAGTAGCAACTCTACATGCATGATTTAAAGGTTTGTTTAGTTCTGCTTGAATCATGTAGTGACATGTGCCTCTATTTTCCAAACTTAGTGAAATGCACATAGGCTTGATGTCAAGTGGTCTACATTCTACATGTTCACTTAGTAAGCATCTTGATGTCTTAAAGAGGCATGCCTGAAGGGAGGGCAGATGAACAATGACTTCTTAAGTTTTTGAGTCTGTAAAATAGTAAAACTATTGTCCTTCCTAAATGAGATTTTAAAATCTGTTAATAAAAACGCCATATGGGAGGAGGATGCTTATTCTATAAGGGAGGGTTGAGATTTGATTGTGAAACTTTTTGGGGAGGCTGTAGCATTGCAGTTAGTCTAATAAAAGGCATTCATTACTTATCCCTGTTACCTTTGCTTCAGTTATGATATTGCAAGTGGTTTTGTTTCAGTTCTTTCCCTTTCTGAGAGAATTGACCTAAAAACATGTAATAGTTCAAGTTTGTGCATATAGAACACTGTTTAAAAAAAAAAGTATGTTATATGATTAAACAGGAAGCCCTCACTTAGCATTCAGCATTGCTTAATATGTAATTAGATATCTAAAGGGAAGAATCTTACAGTGACAAAATAATTTGCCATGATTCTGAGAGAATTCTCATTCTGTAAAACCAGTATGTACTCTCATACTACTAAGTTGAATTAATTTTTGCTTATGTTTGCGTCAACCAGTGCTTAATTTTTAAAGCCAGTGACAACTGCTCACTTTTTGAGGAATTTTATCAGTAGAAGACAAACAGATATTTTTCTGACTTAATAAAACCTGTTTTGTTTGGGTTTTGTGTTTTTGTTTGTTTGGTTTTTTTTTTCCAGTGTAGAGAACTCTACAAACAGTGCAGATGCATCTAGCAACAAGTTTGTTTTTGGACAGAACATGAGTGAGCGAGTCCTAGTGAGTATCCACTGTGTATGAAATGTTGTAATTTTGTGAGTAGTTTGCATTATGGATTCTCGCTCAGGAATTTTGAGAACCTTCAATTATACTTGTCACTGGAGCACAGTTTTCTTTCAGTGGTTTCCCTTGTAGGTAACTTATTTTGAGTGCAGTGTGGGGGTTTCATTATGAGCTATTGTCTGCAACAGCAGTGTTGTCCAGGATTTCCCTGCCAAGCTCTACCAGTGTAAGGAGATTCGAGTGCCTTCTCTGTAGTGCACGTGGTTCCTAAGTCCAAGCACTTTATGGCACAGCTTGCTTCTTTAAATGGCTTCTTCGATATAAGTATTTGAGGGTATTTTATGTTTGCTGTCCTCCAAATTGAGAAGAGTTCAGTTGCATGACTCCCCCAGTGATGGGATTTCAAGTCCGGCAGTAAGGCAGCTGCCTCAGTACTGAGGTATGATTCAGGAAATTCTCTTTATTGTGTACTGACCTACAGTATAAATTCTAGTGCCCCACTGTTTCCTACTGGTGTTTTTATTGCTATGCTGGTACAAAAGGGAAACATTTAATACTGTGCATTCATACCTGTCTTAACTGCTGAGCAGGGAGTTCAGTCAAGTATGCCTTGAGTTGAACTGTAGCTGAAACTGGTTTGCTTTGATGAGCATAACTTCAGAATAAGAGTTGAAATTTGGTTTCAGTTCAGGGGAAAATAATTTGAAATAGTTTTCAGGTCACACTCCATTCAATTCCTTGGCTGGGGTAGTAGGATGGCTTTTACTGTGAAAGCATGTCATCCCTGGGATTCTTCTTTTGCTGTATGGTTTATAAACACTGGGCCTTCCCTCAGTAACTGATCACTAGTCTTGTTCTGCAAAACTAGTGTATACTTTCTCTCTTCTCTTTACCTCCTCTTCTTTTTGCAATAGAGTCCACCAAAATCAAATGAAGGTAGTACAGAGAGTAATAAGGAGAATGCTGCTACAGAGTCTGGGTCTGAATCGTCTTCTCAGGAAGCCACGCCAGAGAAAGGTGAAAAACAAAATATTATTTTAGGAATGGTAGTTAATTCTTGTTTAAATGATTGCCTTTTTCAATATCCTGTTACTTTATAAAAACAGCATTTTTATGTTGCCTTTACTGTCTACTGTAACCAAAGATGCAGGTTAGGGGTGGGAGGTGACATGGTGGATGCTATAGATTCTCTTGTCCTTTTCTCTGTAATGTTAAACACTTACAGGCTACACTGTCTTTTTCATGGTTGTTCCTGTGGTATTGGGAGTATCTTCAGCAGAATGAAAGTAGAGGGAATTAACAGAGCAGGTACTTGGATGTACAGAGTGTAGAAGAAATGTAGCAGACTGTTTTTTAAGAATTCTATTATACTTCCAGTGACTGAATGTCTGAGTAAAATGTTTATTGTATTGAGTGGGCACACCAAATGCGTTGCTTGAACCAAGAACTGTTTGCTGGGTTCTAGACTTCTATGACTCTTCAGATTGGCAAGATTTTCTGGAAATTTTGGAAGCTATGGGCTTTCTCCAGCAAACTGCTTGCAAGCCAAAATAAAAGCAGAAAATGAATCACACTGTACATCTGTAAGCACAACTGTGTAGCTGGTAGCAGTATTGATACCGCTGGAGCACCTACAGTTATGTAGGCGTCCATGTGTTAGCAAAGGTTTTGAAATACTGTATGTGGGGAGAAAATCTTTCAATAGCTTACCTCTTCTGTCCCTTGTGTCATCTTTTGCTTTTAAGACTTGTTTTAAAAGCAAAAGATAAGCTTTAACTTCTGCTTTAAATTTCAATCCTATTTCTAATGTTCTATTAACATCTGTGTTCTGTACTTTTATTTCTTCAAATTCTGGTATACTTGTGCGAGACCTTTATAAATCTTACAAAATTATATGCTAATCATTCTCAAACTTTCAAAATGTTGTTCAGCTAATAATATTTCAGAATCACTGGCGGAGTCTGCAGCAGCCTATACTAAAGCAACAGCAAGGAAATGTCTATTAGCGAAAGTAGAAGTGATTACTGGGGAGGAAGCTGAAAGTAATGTGTTACAGGTAAGAAACGGGTGAAGTAGAGGAGCTTTGAGTTTAAGGGGATTCATACGGAGGTCCAGTGAATGCACACCACCTGATGCCCTACAGCTCAGCCATCCTCTGTATCTCTAATGTATTTTCTTGTGTTAAAATGCAAACTTTGGACACTTATTATCAGATCCTTACTTTGTTGTTTCTTAATTTCCTCTTTCTGAATAAATTTTAGCGTTTGGGCCATCCAGACAATCCTTAAGCATACTTTCCTGAATCCATCACACAAAAGCTCCTATCTCCAAAACAACTATTTGAAGAAAATTTAAATGAACTAAATATTTTTAAGTTCTTTAATTATTGTACTGCTGAAGATTTTTTTTTTTAAAACTCCGAATAGACTATTATGCCAGTAGTCTGGTTTCTTGCGTAGCAGAAACCATAAAACAGTACTCAGGAATTTGTCTTGAGGTACTTAACTGCATTAGTGACATTTTAGAAGGACATTTGGTCATGACTTAGACTCCTGATTCAATTGTGATTTATTTAACATTGTAGTTATTCATTAACTTAAATATACTTACTAACTTCAGTATGTTCTTAATAAAAACATGCAGGATTTTCATGTAAAACTAAGTGGTATCTATTTTTTTCCCTCCTCTCTTTATCCTCCAATTATAGTTTTTTCTTGATCTTTTAAGTTACTCAGCACTTGAACAGCATTATTTTTTAAGGATAGCTCTTTGTTCTTACAGACATGCTGGTCTATTCTGACACCAAACAGATGCATGGTGTCAGTAACTAATGCATATCAGTTACACTTGTATTATCCTACAAAATAATCATCTGTAACGTTTGTCGTCTTGCACTTGTTTTTGCCAGACATGAATGGTCTTGAAGTAATTGTTGTGGTACTTCTCTGTTTCTGTATAATTCAGAAACTCCTGGATGCTTCATGTAACTGAACAAGACACTGAAGAAATGAGAGTTGTGTTTCACTTTGGAAAACCACAACTTTTAGCAGTTGTATACTTAATAGAGGACTGATTTGCATGAATATGTTGTAACTTAAGATCTCTCGCCTAATTTATGTTCTTTTTTTCCAGTGAAATTTAATGCACTGGAATCCTGTATGGGACTTGTATGACAGAACTATGTTAATGTTGCAGAAATGAAGTCTACAGAGCTAGGTGTTCTATGGTGGAGGAAATGAGAGAAACAGAGGGAACAAAAATGGAAATATATTCTCCACCTAGTGCATGCATATATGTGGGGAACTTGAGGGGTGACAATTTGAAGTATGAAACCTCAGCAGTGACAATGAAGATGGATTAGAGGGGGGGATATAAAGTAGAGATGTTTGGCAGAGCAAGAAAAAGGGAGCTTTTATGGGAAGCAGGAACAGTGCTACCATTAGAAAGTACAAAAGGTGTACTTTTTCAAACTGATGAACCAGGAAGGCAGGAAAAATACCTTTTGTTTATTCATGACTTTGTGTGGGTCAGGCTTTATGAATTGATAATGAGCTAACATGTTTGTTCATCCTTTCTTCCTTAATACAGGAAGAATTTTGCTTTGCTTTCATTGTGCTGGGTCTTCCCAGCAACAAATACCACATTCCATGGTGCAAAGTGCACCTAAGACTTTTAAAAGAATTGACTGTTTTAAGATGATAGATGTCTCTTACCCAGTCTCTTATCACAATAAGTTTCCTCTGTGGAAGTTTGTACCTTATCTGAAAATTGTTATTGTTGTTTGATCTTGAACACAGGTATTCTTTAAGAACATATAGCTTCTGTTAATAAACCTTATGACAGCATATTTTGAGGAATTTAGTGCAAAAGAGAGGATGACTACTTTGGTTTCCACAGCTATGAACAGTTTAAAATTCCAATATGAAATCTGAATATTTTTTTAACCAGCTGTAGGTAACTGAATGTGAAATATATTATTACTTCAATCAACCACTATGCTATAGAGATATTTTCTGTTACAGATTCAGTGCAAGCTGTTTGTGTTTGATAAAAACTCTCAGTCTTGGGTGGAAAGAGGTCGAGGACTTCTGAGACTCAATGATATGGCCTCAACAGATGATGGAACATTACAGTCTCGGCTGGGTAAGAGGAACCAGGGGAAATGAGGTACTGGATGACAGTCAGTGCTATTTTCGTAGGATGCTTCCATGACACACAGCAGCATCTGCTTTAGGTTATGTCTTAGCTACAGCAACTCGGAAGCAGTTTAGACCTTTTCTCTTGCTTCAATTTATGACCATTTTCTCCAAAGAGAGTATCTTTTCATATCCTCCTATTGTAGCAAATGTTCCAGTTACTTTTTTTCCTCCATAAAAGCAAACTGTATTTATTAGCAACTAGAATATTTGACTAGAAATTTGTGGTGATGTTCTTCAGATCTGGGATCTTTGCTCTTTGGGACAGGGTGCTTGTGGCAGTGGAAGTCTGTTTGAATAGTGCACAGTTGTTCAGACTGGCAGGAATGTCCGTTAGTCTGAGATTATCAGCTTGGATCCACCCACTGAACTTTGATGTATTAAGACATAAGACTTTGCACTAAGTATCTTTAGATATAACTGATAATCTTTAATAGCCTACATTCTTCTGGTAAAACAGGAATCTTGTCACAACTGTTAAAGGGCTTTCCCTTGATACTCTTCGTAAAGAGACTTAAACATTCACACAATAAAAAGCCATCTTTGCTGTTTTGAGCTTCCTGTTGTGTCTTTTTCCACCTAACTAATCTTGTATGTTGGCTTTAGTGATGAGGACTCAGGGGAGTCTCAGGTTAATCTTAAATACCAAGCTCTGGGCCCAGATGCAGATTGATAAAGCCAGTGAGAAGAGTATCCGGATCACCGCCATGGATACAGAGGACCAGGGCGTTAAAGTTTTTCTTATATCAGTGAGTACTGGTTTTTGTTTGCATCTTAACCTTCCTACTAAAATTGCTTGCTTAAATTGTAGTTGAGGTAACATTCCTATTCTTCTTTGCACACTAACTCCTTACCACTACCCCCACACCAAAGACAAGGGGCTTGGCAGTCTTTGCTTGTCTGAAAAGCCTTACTAGTTGTGAAGAAATGCCATGTAAAAGGCCACCCTAGGAAGCCAGATTGTCCAAAGCATTGGCCATGGAGTCATGGGATCTGTTCCATGCCTACTGAGACTATAACTGTAGTGTAAGATTAATGCAAATAATTTTTTGCTATCAAGGGAAATAAGCATTTCGTAGATTGCTGTGTAATAGTTTAACCAAAATGAGGTCTACCAGAACTTGTAGCACAGGAAAGCTGTCATTGTCTATCTACAGTGTGGGTGGACGTATAGGTGCTCGCTGGAAGTGAAACACCAGATATCTGTCAAGAACATTGTGTTAGTAGTTAAGGATAACACATTTTAACTTTGATTTTCTTTTAATACAGAGTATTCCAAGCAGTAGCAGGACAGTGAAAGTGATTTCTGTGCTTGGTAAACAGGGAAACAGCAATCCCAATTAGAATTACTAAAACACTTGGGAGATCATGATACAGTCAGCAAGAAAGAAAGGTCATTCCCTAATGTCTGCTAAGAGCACTTACAGATTTTGAGAGGTCTGAACACATTCTTTTGACTTACACTGATTCTACACAAGGAGTTGCTAAAGAATTAAGTGTTCTTATGGATCAGAAATTAAGAGAACAGCAACAAATAATCAGCTTCCCCTGTGACATTAGATTTGTAGGACTGGGGTCTGGAGTTCCAGAGTGGAACTTAATGATACCAAATATCCATTGATAAAGAAAGAGCAGTGAAATTAATGGATAACTTCTCAGCATTCCTCTAGATTTGAAAAGTTTGAGTTAATCTGTCATCATGTTATTCACTATTGATTTTAGTATTGATGAAGAGTACCTTGTATGGAACAATTTATTCACTGCAGCTCATTGCAGGGGAATTTTGCAGATACAGAGGTTACAGACGGGGAGGATGGAAACAATTTTTAATGAAAATTGGGATAGTTACCTTAAAGTTAACTTGGGGTAACAGTAGTAGTAGTTAATATGAGGACTTAATTGACATGGTGAAGACAGAGTTTCATAGTATTTGAAAGGAGTTCCCTTTTAAATAATATCCATTAAATACTTGGTTTGATAAGCCTAAAAATTGTTTCTTTTGAAGGCATGAAGTGGCCATTAACCTTTGTCCAGGAATATATGGTTTTTTACTCAGACACAAATGCTTCCCTCTGAAACAGCTGATCGGTATAAAAGAGTGTAAAGAAACCAAACAAACAAGAAAACCCCTGGAATAATCACCTGCCTGACTGCATGTCCATTCAGTTTTCTCATTATATCTTATGCTGAAACTTTGTCAGTGCATCATGAAAACAATTAAGTGACTTGATTACGATTAACTAATGTGTGAAGTTGAGTGATTGACAAACCTGGAAAAATCTGTGCAAGACAAACTTTTTAATTAAGGATCTTTTTAGCATAAGCTTTTGGGAGGTGTCAGGAAAGCTGTGTGACTGCTGGTTGAAGAAAATTATACAAAATCAGCTAGTACTCATTATGTTAGCCAGAGAAAGTTGGTGCTGGGTGGAGAGGAATATACCCTCATCATCAGAGTTTAGTATATCTAGCATCTTGCTATGTATACCACAACCTGTTCTGACCTAGTTTGAAAAACCCTGTATGAGAAAACTGAAAAGTAGATTGTGAAATTTGGCATGACTGGTATGTACTATGTAAGCAGTGTTTTTATTCTGTTGTAATTCCTTGCACCTTTTTCTTGTTTCTGAATATTAAAAAAATGTAGGCAAGCTCTAAAGATACAGGGCAGTTGTATGCTGCATTACACCATCGGATTTTGGCCTTGCGGAGTAGAGTGGAACAAGAGCAAGAAGTCAAGAATGTAGCACCTGAGCCAGAGGTAACGCAATCAAATGAGGAAGACAGTGATGATGATGTCATTGCACCTTCAGGATCAGTTGGAAGTGGTAAGCAAGAAAGACAACAGTTTCCTGTTTTCCATTTGTTTTTCTTTAAGGCATACTGTCTTCTCTGTAATTGTATATTATACATGTACTTTTGGCCTGTTACTTCTCACAGGTGTTTGTGGAATAAGACTCATTGCACAAATGGCCTTTTTGAATGCAACTGTTTCTTGTTGCTTCTCCAAACTGGTAAAAAGGCCCCTGTGCTGCTTCCATCTGAGTTACATGTCACAGTTTAGCAGAGGTTATCTGTGCTTCAGTTAGTTCTAGTTTTGTTTACAGGATTTTTAAGGGGTGGTTGTGAGTTTCATTTTTGCCTTCAATGTGGCTAAGGCTTGCACATAAAACCTGAGATTACTGTCTTGGACTACTTTCAGCCCGCAGGATCCAGACTGACCCTTGGGTAGAATGCTATTTGGAAAGCAGAAAGTTTACAAAGGGGCATGGAAAGAGTGTGATTAATTTCATTGTACATGAGGAGACCATAATTTAAGAAAAGCACTAGTCTTCAGTTTGAGGAAGGCTTCCTTCTGTACTCCTGATTTGGGAGTCATCTGTGCTTTGCGTTCCTATGGCTTAGAACATCCAACCTTTAACAGAGACCAGTCCTCTGTCCTGATTCACTGCAGGGGAAAAAAAGAAGGGAATTAATACGAACATAAGCAGTAGGTAGATTGAAGAGGCTGGAAACTGAGCTTTTAGGCTGTGGGATGCTACTGGGATCCCCAAACCAGCTCAGTCAAGAACATAAAATTCTGCAGTGGACAGAACTTACTCTGGAGAAGGAAGATGTAAGGGAGGGGAAGGGGGAACTCTACAGTGCTCATCTGTCATTGAAATCCTAAATCTGAGACTGCTGTAGGCTTCTCAGGTAGGGCTTCTTGTTGTAAGGCAAGAAACAAAAGATACTTCTTATGACAAAGAACTACTTTGTTTGTTTCAGGTCCTAATGATGAAGGTGACGGGCAGAATGTTGGCAGCACATAGCAGATGTGAGCCGATCTGCTTGCAAGGCTGCTATGAACACCATCTTGCAGGCATCTCTGGATACCCCAGGCCAGCTATTATTTCAGGCAGTGTTGAAGGCTCCAGGACTTCAGAACTGTGCATCCCTGTTCTGTTTGTTTGGTTTTTTGGTCTGGATCAGTAGATTCCACACAAAAAAAGCAGACTTTGAAACTACCTGAATGTGGTTTGGGACGTGAAAGCTCATCATATTGATGAGCCAAAAAAAAAAAAAACCAAACATTTCCCCTCTTCCTTGTAATTGAAATGGCACATTACAGCTTGTCACAGCTTTTCATTGGGACCTTTTTGACTGTTTCTTCAGTAGTTCATGTCTTGCAGGCCTCCGAGATAAAACTTTCCGACACAGTTCCAACTCGAATTCTGCTTTCATAACCCCTACTCCCCCTTATGAGTTTCGGCCACCTGCAGGGAAACCGTGTCCTCACCAGTTCCTACGCTCACTGACTGCCCTTTTGGGTTCATTCTCTTTTTGGACTGCAGATGGGGCAGACCATGTTTTTACCTTTTAATCCCAGAGTAGGTTGTGGACACCATTGTTCCCTGTCTAGTGGGTTTGTAAACAGAGAGAAAGAAAACATTGTGGTTCACAAGAAAAGCTTTTTTAATGCGGTAATAAGAGACTTTAAAGTCCACAGGACGTTTTGCTAACTCCTTTTCTTTCTTCCCATTTCATTATTATTATTTGGGGATTTATATTGTGGTGATACTTTTTTATTTTAGTTTTTCAATAAGATGCTCTTGTGTGTTGAAAAAGTGAAACTATTGTTTTGTACTGTTCTTTTCTGTTACTATTTAAGGGAGAGCTAAGCCACTATATATAATAGATGTTGCATACAATTTTTCTTAGAAAATTATGTTTCTGTGGCTACAGTAAAGTGTAGGAGGCATACAGGTTACACCTTCAGAAAAGTTGATGAGGAAACAGCTGTTAGCCCTTGGAAGAATAAAATAGGCTCATTTAATGAGCTCTGTCAGCCATTAAAATAAATCTGTATAATAAAGCAGCTCTCATTTAATGGCTTGATTCAACAAGCCATTTAAGCACTTGCCTGACTTAACTACATGTGAATAATCTTACTGAAGTCAATGCAACTATTCATGCTTAAAGTTGAGTACATTTTTAAATATCGTGCTGAATTAACGGCCTTAAATAGAAAATTAACTTCTAACCCTTCCTGTCCCTGTTCTGTTTCCTGAAGTCTTGCAGCATGAAGAAAAAGGTAATATTGCCAGCTTTGAATAGTTTGGGCTGAAGGATATTGTATTCTGTTCCACCAAAATAAAAGCAAGAATGTGTTTTCCTGTGTGTAATTCTGAAGTACTCCTACTGTAACCATAGCTCACTTTTTGCTTTGGATGTTTTCTAATCACTTGGGCCTTTTGTGTGACAGTTGAGTTTTATTTTGTTATTAAAACATATGGTATATTCTTGTCCAGCAAAGTTGGAATTTGGTAGTCACCAAGAACAGTGACCAGGTCACTTTCACTATAAATTCCCCAAACTTTTCTATTTCCTTTATAAATACTTTACTGATAGATAATTTCTCATTTCCTTGCTCTTTCTCCTGTAGGTTAAGGGAGATCTAAAATGCACCATTTAAAATTAAAGGGGAAGAAGCATTTAATGTAGCATGAATTGAAAATTAAAACCCAGGTTGTAGCACAAAAGCAACTTTGAAATTATTCACATAGCAAAACAGTCCTTATTGCCTCTATTTTCATGAAAGATGCTTTTCTTCACTGGGAGTCAAGAACATGTTTTTACCTGTTATCTGTTGTTAACCACTGTTGGAGACTTAAGTTTTTGGGGCAGGGGGGTGCTTTGCTTTTCCTGGTAGCCTGTTGAAGGAACCTCTTGGATTACTTTTCTGGGGAGTGAAAAGGGCTAATGATTAGCTGTGCCACTGCATTTGTGATTTCTCTGGATGGTCTGCTCATGCCTTTTTGCATTTTGTTTTTTTTCTCCTTAACATTACAAGGTTTTTTAACCATGCACAAACCTATTGATGGACCCCTTCTCATGCAGCTCATTAACAGAAGCACAGCATGTTTCTTAATACCCACCCACACAATTGTTTCTGCATCACAAGGTCTGGGGAACTATTGTATTTTCAAATGTGATCTGCATTTTGGATCTTGGATCTTTTTACATGAGAGAGATACTCAGATTTAAACTACTCTTTTCAAACAATGTTGCAGCATGAAGCTGCTTGTTGTTGTCAGCATAAAGAAAATTAGTAAGGTGTCTTGGTCAGCAGGGCCTACTTGTGGAGAAACAGGTTTTACTTCGTGGTCCCAACTCCATGGGGTCTATGCAGAGTCTCACTTTGAGGTGCATTACCTAAAATGAAATTGATGGTGCATGAGGATTCAGAAAAATGGAATAAGCTTGCTTGCTTTGATGAGGTTTAGTGGTGGTATACAATCACCTACAGCATTCTAAAAAAAAAAAATAATTTGGCAACTATTTACTGATACAAATTTTATTTCAGCTGGAATCTTTGCATATATGTTTATAGTGAAGAGAGAAATATAACTGTGAACCACTAACAGAATTGGCTATAGACTGAGTTCAGGCCCTGCCCAGCAAGATGTAGTTATGCCAAAGCAAAACTCTTATTTCACTCTCTGCTTTAAGCCTTAGTAAACTAGTGACAGGTAAAGCCAGATGATGCCCATGTGTTTTGAAGGATTTATGTAAGACCCATATCAAAATGTATGTGGGAACTACATTAAAACTTTCATCAGAAAACAAGCAAACAAAACACCCCAAGCCCTGTGTTGTATTTCCTGTGCTGGGCAATGGCTGTTAGAAGGGAGGTTGACAACAACCAAGTTTGCTTTCCTACAACAATATTCCCCTTTCACCACCCTCCTGCTGCATCTTTGCTCTTAGGTCTGTTGTTAACATATGTTACTGTACTTCTTGTTCTGGCTGCTGACTGATGTGGGCACAGCCTTTCAAATTTTCCTAGGGGAAAAAAAGATACTGAAGAGTGTAATAAAATTGAGCACATCTGATGGGGAAAATGTTGCAAGAGTGGTGGTGTTACTAAAACCAGAAGTAAACCTCTTATCCATAAAATTAAAAATAAGATTACACCCACAGGAAATACGAACATTAAGGTAAGAAAATGTGTAGTTACAATATCTTTCTGTAGTCCAGTTCCCAGTGCATGATGCACTACTTCAGAGAAGACAGGGCAGGGAAAGATCTAAATAAACTAGTCCTCAGCAGTCCTCCACTGAAACCAGGCTGGGCAGATGTCCAAACTGTTAGAAGCCTGCAGGAATAAGAAACCTCCAACTTTGTAATGACTCTCTCCCTTGTTCCCAGTCACTGAGGTATCAATCAATTCCATTGCTTAGGTATTGCTGCCATTAAATGACTGTTCCTAATGCGTCCCATTCTGCAGTTTGACTGGCTTCTTGTTCTCCAGTGAGTGTAGAAAATGGTTTATTTCTAGAAACGTTACATATTTGAAAGTTTACCATGTTTCCCCGTAATCTTCTCTAGTTTTAGGAATTCAAATTATGATAATTGCCATAATTTGTCATGCAAGATTTCATTAAACTGACTTTTCACTGTGTGTTTTTCTCCCCTTGTTCTTTGGTCTTTCTGTGCACTGACTTGCTTAAGCTGAACTCTCAAGTCCATTATGCGGGTAGCAGATAAATTCAGACAGAATGTATAAAGGTATTTTAACTTTCCAGGGTAATTCTTTTCCTCCTGTGAAGATTAGCACAGAGCAACAGAGGTGCTGAGAGAATTGCTAAGCTGAACTCCTAAAGTCAGTCTTAATTCCTATCTGTTAGGTTATGGTACAGGTATCTTGCAAAGAAATGCTCAAAGATAATTTCTGTAAATGAAAGTCTCTCATTTAAAGATAGTATTCAGAGTTCCCTTTTGACTACCTCCTTTCAAGGGCTTGATAACAAATTCAGCTTTCATATCTTTAAGAACACTGGTAATTCTGTTGCTGGTGGTAGGCAGTGAATGCCTTTTCTAAGGATACTTGTGAATTAAATGAACCAAACCTGATTGCATTCTGGTGGCTTACCTTTGGCTTCTAATGTATCCTAGGAAAAGCAAAGTATTAAATGTTGTATTTTATGTCCTCCTGTTCAAGAGACCAGAAGGAATCAGTCAAGCCCCAGCTGCTGCTGGTAACAGTGATCCGAACAGTTCATGCCAAGCCTCAGTGTCTACTAATTGTACCCCTGGGAAATGCTTTTTATATTGACCACTGGAAAGTAGCTCACTAATTGTAGTCCATTTGCAGACAAGATAAGATTCCTGTTCTGGAGAGTTCAGAGCGTAAGTTTAGATGCAGATAGGAGGTCTATTGAATAAGGCCATACAAAAAGCTGCCAAAAGAGAGGAGGGTGGGGAAATGTTTTGAATGTGACTTGCCGGTGGGTGGTTCTGTCCTCAAGTTTCAGAGGCAGAAGGAAACTAAATCATCTGCAGCTTGTAGTATGATGGCAACTCACTCCCCACATTTAACAGTTAAGGGAACTAATACTCTCTGTATTAGCTAAGTGGTTTGTAGCCATGGTCTACAGTTAATTGTAAAATACTTCGAGTCAAGTTAGATGCTTTAAGAGTAATGTTACTTACCTAGATTGATTTACATGTGGCTTTCCCTGGAACTTGCCCGTTCGTAGTAAGGTAACTGTTATGTTTTACTGTAACAGTTCTCTAATGAGTACTAATTGCCTAGGCTGTGTTTTACACCATTCAGAAGCCTGAGGACAGGCTTCTGAAAATAAACCATAGCAGCAGTGTGCCAGTCCCTAAGGTTAACTGTGGTCTATAGGTGAGACATGTTAAGAGCTGCACAAAAACAGGTGCTGTGTCTTGCAGCTACGTACAGGCACAGGAGAAGTCAGGAGGAGTCTCGGTTCCACCTCACTTGTCTGTGGAAGGAGTGGTATGAATCCCCTGCATGTAATACACACTCAGAAGAGCTTTTAACAGCTACTTAAAGGTTAGAATGCTATTCGTTACTTAACGGTGTAGAGTCTTATCCTATGCAAGACTTAGTGGCTTCCATATGTTTATATTGGGGAATGAGTATTTGCACCATATGCCACCATGCAGTCATGGCTTTTCTAGTCCTGCTGTCTGAACAGTCACACAGCTTGTTGTCAGATGTGCTTAGAAGGGACTTGGCAGGAGGAATAAAACTGCCCTATAAACTGCTTTCTTTAATAAACTGCCAGTGAGTACTTGATCGGTGCATTTGGTTTTGTGTTTGTAAGAACAGCCACTTTTGGGGGCACGGAGGAATCAGTAGAGTGGCCTTGCTACAAGGGACAGTGCAAGACCAGACTGAGCCTCACTCTGTTGCTGATATACCCCATACCAACTCATTCTAGAACCAGCGCTTGAGACAGATCTGGAATGAAGGTGATGTATCTGCCCTGCCCAAGGTCCATGCCACCACAGCAGCTTTCTGGTATGCCAAAGCCAGGGGCTGAGTCACAGGTTGCTACAGGGCGGTGATCCCTGGCTGTCCACCATTCTCTCCCTGCTGACAAGGCTGGGGAAGTTCAGACCTCGCTGCCACCTGGCATCCCCCAGTGCTGTCCTAGGAAGCAGAGTACTTGTAAGTGCTGGTAACAAACAGCTATTTACTGGGATAATTTGGGGGCAGTAGCTAGCTGCTTTGAGCTCCTATCCCAGAAAAGGGGTGCTGTAGAGGACTCCATCATAACTGGGAAATGCACAAAGTATTTAATGAGATTTTCACATAAACGCAAAAGAGAAGTAGAGGGGTGAGAGAAAGCTTGAGCTAAGCATCAATCCAGTTATGGCCTTCTTCCATTTAGTTGCTGGAGTTATTTCAATGGTGGGGAAAAACAGAACTGGAAGAGCTTGGCTTGAAGGGATGTCACTGAGGAAGCATGGTAGTGAGTTGTTGAATGTTTTTATTAGCAAACTGAGAACAACTGGAAAAATAAATGCATACAGTACAGCCTACGCTACAGTGTGGCCTAGGTAGGTGTGTCAAAACATCCTTATTATTTCAGAAGGAAAAAATGGAGATACAAGTATACAGAGAGAGCCAGAGAATTAGAGTCTTGAAAATTCATTAAAAAAATCCAAGTACTATTTAGTTATAATTGTAGCTACTACACCCACAAAACCAAACCAAAACGGCAAAACCCCACAAACCACCCTGAAACAGCCAGCATTGAAATATTAAAGGCTCCGAGCTACGGGAAACGTATGTCGTTTACGTTTAGACACAGAGCTGCAAGATCTAAAGGCCCCCTGAGAGCCACGGCCTGGGTGCGAGCTGAAAACGTGAAGCGCCATTACTCTTCTGACGGATTTTCGAGGGCCCGCCAGCCGGCGGCGGGACAGCTGACCGTGCGAGCCACGGCGAGCGCCGGGACGAGGTCCGTGGCCGGGGGACGGCGCCGTGCTGCGGGGACACCGGTGCCGGGGCGGCAGCACCTCAAGCTGGCTCAGCCTTCCCCGCCGTGAGAGACGCCGCCCCCCGCCCGGCCTTCAGGGCGGTGCGGCGCCGACATGGCGGCCGGGGCGGGGGCGGGGCCGCGCCGTCCTCTCGCGAGAGCTCGCCGTTCGCTGGCGCCCGTGCCCTTGCGGCGCCATGGCGGGCTACTGGGATGGCCCCGAGGGCGAGGACTGCGCGCGCCGCACCTGGCTCACCACACGCGTCGGCGCCGCCGCGGGTGAGAGGATCGGGGCGACCGCGGCTGAGGGGACCGGGGCGGGGGGCGGCGAAGCGGGGCCCGGGCGGTTACGAGGCGGTACCGCCGGCCGCCCCCTCACCGCCGGCCGCGGCTCTGCTGACTGACGCCGTCGTGTGTTGCAGGCTTGGTCGGGACGGCCTACCGCATTATACTGCAGCAGCCCAACTCGGCCCTGGCCGCCTTGCAGATGGCAGCCGCGGACAGCGTCACCATGGGTAAGGGCCCGGGGCCGCCGTCCCCTCCGGCCGGCGGTGGCGGCGACCCGCGGGCGGGCGCTTCCCCATCGGTCGGTCGGTGTACCGGGCCGCCCTGCCCGCCGAGGCCACCTCTGCCTTTGACTTTGTGCTCGGTATCGGGTGGTGGTCCTCCTCCGCACGCCTCGGAGGCAGGTGGTTGTTTTAAGGATGGAAGCCGAGAGCCGCAGTGGTACAATGGCTTGAAAGACGCGCAGAGCTTCACAGTTGGCGTTTCCTTTTGCGGCGTTTCCTCTAACACACTACCTACATGTCAAATCGGAGTAGAATAGAACAGAAGTTACTCACACGTGGGTAGTATTTTCTGCTGGATAAGGTAACACCAGTAATATGGGCGATGGGGACCGGAAGAACTTCTGGGTTAATGCTTGAGATGGAAGAACAGCCATGTCAGCTCAGGCTGAAGGTGCATCTGCAGCAGTCTCTGCCTCCCATGTTCTTTATGTAAAGACATGTTCTTTATTTGCAGTTTAGGTGATGCATTTTTTGCAATCTAGAGTAAAAGGTACTTAGTATTTGCAAACTAGCTTGTTTAGGGCCAAAAGTATAGTGGAAGCAAACTCATTATTTTACTTCATATGTTTAGGCATTGCACTTAATAAATCACACTTGAAGAGCGAACACAATGGTTTTGATGGCAAAAGGAAAATAAATGTGGGGTTTTTTTCCATCATGCTGTGTAGCCAAGAAGAAACCATGTAGTTGTCTTGAATTTGCAAGAGAAAGTGGACACTGAAGAAATAAGCAGGCAACTGAGGGGGCTATTCCAGATGCAGGTGCAGATCCGCAAGACTGAAGCTCCCCCAGCCCCTTGGCAAGTGCACAGTTTTCTTCTCACCAAACTCATCTTGTTTTTCAGTCTAATTTAATGGCTTATGTCACCTCTGTCTCTCCCTGTGCACTAGTGCTCTGAACTGGAAGCTGGTTCGGTTCACAAGCAGTTCAGATCGGCATTTTTGAGTTGTTCAACTCTAAAACAGGACCTGGAATCTCCTGTAATGAGTTGAGTCATAGAAGGTCATTGTGATGGACTGGATAATGTAACCAATTATGACTTCAATAAATCCCGTAATCCTAAACCAGCATATTGAATCCTCTTACCAATTCTTGAACCTGAGGAAGAGCTTATCCTGTCCACTGTTAAGGGGCCAGACCTCATGGTCTGAAGCAATGTGTTTTGCCTACAGACTCCTGTAGTCCAAAGCAGAGGAAGCAGGGAAGCTGAAATACAGTCCTTGGTCTGTGGGTTTTGTTTCTTCAGTGCTCTTTTCAGTTGATTTTAGGATCAGCATAATTGCATTTTCTGCTGAAAAACTGCAGAAGTTTGTAACGTGAGCTTGCAGTTTACTAGTTTACCATAGAGATTGAAAATTTTTGTCCTGGACATTTTTGTTGTTCCCAAGAAAGATGAATTGAAATCTGCAGATGCTGCCTGGGAGCCAGTTTCACGTTTTGTGATCAAGAACCTGTATTACAAACAAAAAAAGCTTCTTTGTGTATTTGCTTGACAGAGTTATTTGCCAAAGTTTGCAGTTATATCGATGTAGGGTCTGATGGGATGAGGTGTGTAATTCAGTGGACAAGACAATGCTACTTTGCAGTTTCTTAGTTCGATTCAAAATTCTTAATTCAATTTCAAAATCAGTTTACAAAAAGAATAATTTAAAAACTCAATCCATTTTTCTACTATCCAAAAATCATTGCAAGCCCCAGGCAGGCAGAGGAGTAAAGTCCCAGGACAAACCAACCTTAAGGAGAGCAGACCTGTCTGAGTTTCTCTACCTGATTCCCTGTGAGGCTGGATTCACAGGGACTTGTGAGCTGAGTTTCAGCACAGAGCTGAAAGAGAGCTCTGCTCTCTCCTACGCCCTGGGGGAACGTGCTACAGAGAAACCTGCTTCTCTCTTCTCTTACGATCTGGCTGTTGAGGGGGTGGCCCATTGTGTCATCTGGAAGGGCTCTTATTAAGTCTAAGCTAATAACCAAGCTGGATGTGGTGGTGTTTGTCCATAGCCATTTGAATGCACCTGCCTTGTGTGCTGGCAGACAGCAGGGTTCCTGGGGATCCGGCTAACGGCTGAGCTGGACCTGCTTGCTCAAGACCTGTGTGGTACACAGGTGGCTGCATGGCTGGACCGGAGGAGGTACCAGAAGGAACTCGCTGGGATTTGTATAATGCTGAGTCTCACCATAGTGGCTAGGATATGATGCCCCTGGGTAATCGAAATCAGATCTTGCTTCATTTTCCTCTTTTTTCCCAGAGGAGCTGTTGTACAGTACTGTGCGTCTCAAAAATGTGCTTTGTATGTAATTCTCAGTTCCTTGAAGAGTTTTGGTTTGGTTTTTTACCTCTTGTTTACAGCTACACTAGGAGCTGTGTTTGGCGTAACTACCTGCCTCAGTGCCGAAATCCGAGAGGAACCAGAGGATCCCTTGAACTATTTCATAGGAGGCTGTGCAACAGGAGCTGTCTTAGGTGCAAGAGGTAAATGTAGATAATGCCTGTAACAAAGTGAGCCCTCTCTCTTTCTATTAGGGAAAAATGTAAAATAATCTTGATGTCAGGCTTATTTGGTAAATATTCATCTCGGCATCTGAATTCTATTTCATGCCAGTTTCGTTGATGCTCCATTGTACAGGTCTGCTAAAATAAATACTGCTACAGAAGGACACCAGAGATAACATCAAGCTGATTTACAGAATGAAAAGAGAGTTGACCCAGTACTGCCAATTATAACTAGCAGTCATAACTTGAAATTGCAAGATATGAAAAACTAATTGTGGAAATCCATATTTTCCTGGCAACAAATGTGATTTATTTTACACACAAAATATAATCTAACATCTGCCTTGTGAATTCTTCATGCACTTTAAGGGACAAGCTGTATCTTGCTGCTGTTCCTCCTATGGCATCTTGTCAGGGTAGATTAACTCCTGCAGGTATTTATGCAGCTCTGTTTTCTGTAGGCTTTCAGACTCAGTGTTAAAGATGTGAAGGATTTACTGAAGTTGTAATTGTGGTGAAATAGAATTTATCTTCAGTTTTCCTAGTTGCTGAGCTGATGAGAATTTGAAGCAGTGGTTGTTACTTTTGTCACTGAAATAAGCAATTTAAGATTGCCTATGTAAGGAGATGGGGTAGTGGATTATAGAAATTGGTATTTCAAATTGCAAGCTAAAAGGATGAGAACACTTAATTTAAAAATTAGTCACTTTTCTGATTTCTCTTGGCAAACTGTCACTGATGGTCAAGGGACTGTGAGTAGCTCATGAAAAAATTGCAGAGTTTGTCGAGATCTACTGTATAGTACTTGTGCCCTAATAGATCATTTACGGTTTGATGTGTTTTTTCCAGTTCACAGTTACATGACCGGTACCACGGCATGTTTGGGGTTTGGAATTACCGCTGCTCTAATGAAGATAGGTAACAAGGAGGGCTGGAGGCTGACGGGACCTCCCAAGCTGTAAATGTAGCCTTTCCCCCCTGCGAACTGTCTTTTGAATGCTGTATGTAATAAGAAGTTGTGTAATAAAGATACTGTCAAATCAGCAGTTGTCACAAAATTTTTTTGTCGTCCAGCTGTTTACAGTGTTTGGGCTGAGACACAAAAAAGGTGGAGCTGTTGGAGAGGAAGCTTCTTCTGCTGCTCCTGCTGAGATTTCTAGGCACTATGCTTCTGTCTGTATTGTGCATGCAAGCTTGAGAGGTACAATTACTGTTTTCAGTCTGGTCTTTTGGGAGTTGTTCTTGTAGTTTTGAGTGGGTCCTGCAGGATTTTTTGGCAAGGGTTGGGATTGCACCGCACTGAGACAAGTAAGATCAGTAAGGGTTTGGAGTCAAAACTTCTGAAGAGGCACTTGGCTCTAGGTTGATGATGAGGAAGTTGGGGTGGGGAAGGTAGGTATAGATTGCCCATAACAAAGTGTTCAGGAGCCCGGGGGCTTTCTCCAATAAGCATTTAAGGAAGTCTAGAGCCCACAACTTCAGGATTAGAATGGGGGAATAGCTGAGGTTGAAGGGACCCCTGGAGATCTTCCTGCTCAAAATTGGAGCAGGTTGCTCAGGGCTGTGTCTGGTTGAATTTTCTGTGTGCAAACAGGCACATCCAGCAAAGCCACCAAAAAGGTGTAGAGGGTTGAGGCACAGGATGCACAAGGAGCAGTGAGAACTGCATCATTCAGTCTGGAGAAAAGAAGGTTGAGGGCTGATCTAATACCATTTTTTCACGACTTAATGGTTACAGAAAAGGCAGGCTCAGGTGCACAGTAAAGGATGTGAAATAACAAGCACAAGATGCAGAAAGGGAAATTCTAAGTAGATGGAAAAAAATTCTCACAGTTGGGATAGATAAGTGCTGAAGAATGGACTTGGAGAGGCTGTGAAATCATCTTTGGGAGGACACAATTCAACCAGGCACATGGGAATATGAGGGTACAGGGACAGAACATTTGGGGATGGGGATGGGAGTTAATAGAGACAGGGAAAACTGGCACTAGGGGAAGCAGGGATGTGGGGTAGGGGAACACAGGGAGGTGTGAGGGGAGGGGACAGGAGAGAGGGGAACAGCAGTCAAGGAGATTGGGGGACTCAAGGACAGCAGAGGGGACAGAGTGACACAGGGGGACACGTCGTCACAGCCATGGCAGGCTGTGCTTCTCCCTGGTATGTGCTCTCTGTGGGCACGTGGGGGTCCTGGAGGGTGCAGCATGGTCCTGGGGGTGCTTGGGGCTGGGCCAGGGTGGACCAAGGGGCTGATGTCCCCATGTGCTCCCTGGCACCAGAGCTGGGGGAGCCCCGGCTCTTCAGTGTGGGGGCCAGTGGGGCTGGGCTCCAGTTCAGGAGCACAACCGGTACTGGTGGATGTGTCACCACCCGTGGTGCTGGGGGAGCAGGGGGGTTGTTTCTCCCCCACTCAAGGACTTTTGAGGGGGCCCTGCTTCACCCTGGGCTCTGGTGGTGAGCAAGGTTTAGGAGGGGGCTGATGAGCCAGAGACCGCTAACAGGGCCTGCCCGGGGTAAAACCCGGGGTTTACAGCCCTGCCTGCACCTTCCTGCTGCCCAAGAGAGGGAAAAAACTCTCGGCAGCTTCCACCCACCCCGCTGCCTGTCCTCAGGGGACTCGAGTGTCCCTGCTGCCCTGTCCTGGGACTCCGGCGCCTTGGACCTCCCTCTGCCTGCACCTCTCCCAGCTCTCGGCCGAGGCCACGTGCCCTGTCTGGGCTATAATTACCCGGGCACATGCCTCTGGGGTCACAGGAGCTTCCCGGAGCGGCAGCAGGCGGTAAGGGGGGATGAGTGCATGGCACGGCACAGCACGCAGCAATGCAGGACACGGCATACAGCAAGCACAACGCTGGGCTGCAAAACGCGCGGCTTGAGCGAGGACACGCAACACCGTGCAAACACAGCAAGCGACACGTGAGGTGCCACTCGTGACGGGGAGGGGGGGGCAACAGCGTGCAGCGCACTGCGGTGTGACGCAGCATGCCACGCGAGGATCAGCACACCCTGGCAGTAAGCGGTGCAAGAGGGAGCACAACGTCAGACACAACTCGCAGTGCAATGCATTGCGACATGCAATAGGCAGCGCGACATGCGACAGGGAGCGCACAGCAGACGCTGCCAAGCACCAAACGGGTGGCACAGGTGGCTTTGCTGGGGAGCCATGCCAGGTGCCAAGTGGCTCTGCCGCTGTTGGAGCACCAGTAGTTTCGACTATGGGGCAATGGTTAGGGAAGGGCTTGGTGGCTTCTGCTATAGGACAGAGGGTTTGATCATTGACAGTGGACTGAGCTGTGGGGCAGCGGCGTTGGCTGTGGGTCAGTGGCTTCATCCTGAGGGTTCAGCAATGAGGCAGATGGGGGACTTTGGTGATGGATCCAGTGGCTTTCACTATGGGCAGTGCCAGCAGCAAGACCCCGTGTCCCCAGCCAGGACTTCTTCCATGGGCCAGAGGCTCTGGCTGTGGGGACGGCACCCTGACCCCCCCACTCTGTGTTCCACAGGCAAGATGTGGGTTGCAGAGGGGCCAGCCCCAGCCCAGTGGAGCCTGCGGGATGGGGCCCATGCCAGACACTTCCTGGCCACGGCCGACCACCTCCGCACCGCGGGACTGCTGGTGGACGTGGCCGTGGGCCCGGAGGGCGACATGGCCCATGCCGTGGTCCTGGCCTCCATCAGCTCCTTCTTCCTCCGCTTCCTGGAGAGCAGGACCAGAGAGCTGCGCCAGGGCCCCCCGCCCAGCCTCCCCCTGCCACCTGGGGCCACGCTGTGGGGTTGGCGGGCCGTGCTTGCCTTCGCCTATGGGGGAACTGTGCCCCACGGCCGGGAGAAGGAGGTGGAGGAGGCTGCCCGGGTCCTCGGGGCCCCCCGGGTAGTGGCTGCCTGTGCCCCGCGTCTGGAGAGTGACCCCCAGGAGGGGGGACCTGAGCCCCTGGAGGAGCAGTGGGAGACACTAAGAGCCATGGAGCAACTCCATGCCAGCGGCCTGGGCTGCGACCTCCAGCTCTGGGCAGGGGACGAGGTCATCCCAGGTGAGCCGGGGGTGGGGGGTCCCCCAGGAGGGGCTGAGGAGGGGGACAGGGGACAGCTGGGCCCTCTGCCAGGCACGCTGGGGGCTGAGGCTCCAGGTGCGGATGAGGAGCGAGAGGTGCCCACAGGGCTGGTGTCCTCGGGAGAGCTGGGGCTTTGGTGGGAGGGGGCCAGGACACCCGAGTTCCCAGGGGGCTGCCCAGTGCAAAGGGTCCCCTGCTGCCTCCCACCATTCTTCCTCCTTCCCTCCAGTTCAGCGCCTGGCCCTGAGCTGCTCCTGTGACTTCTTCCGGGCCCTCTTCACTTGTCCCATGCGGGAGGCCACCCACGACCCCGCTACCCCGCTGGCCACGGGGCTGTCCCCAGCCGAGCTTCGCCTCCTCCTCTCCTTCGCCTACACGGGGGCGGTGGCAGGGCCGTGGCCTGCGGTCCTGGAGGCAGCCGAGACCTCCCTGCGCTACCAGGCCTGGGGGCTCCTCACCCTCTGCCTGGATGTTTTCACTCGTGGCCTGACCCCAGAAACTGGCCTGGATGTGCTGGCCTTTGCTGTGGCTTACGGGCTGGCCCAGGTGGGCCGCGTAGCAGAGGACTACATCTTGGCCACCTTCCCCAGTGTGGTGGCCACACCGGCCTTCCTGGATCTTCCTGCACACCTCCTAATCCGCCTCCTCCGCTCAGACGGTCTCAATGTCCTCCATGAACTGGAGGCCTTGGAAGCAGCATCACGGTGGCTTATGGCCAATGGAAATGGCCAAGAGGATCTAGCCAAGGAAGTCCTGTCATCTGTTCGCTTTGCCCTCATGTCCGGCCGGGAGCTGAAGAAGGTCCCGTCGGTGGCTGCAGGGGTAGCTGACCCAAAGGTCCTCCGAGAGCTCATGGTAGCAAGTTTGGCCCCCATGGCGCAGCTGCCATGCCGGGTGCGTTCCTTGCAAGAGGTGCTCGTGGTTTGTGGTGGAGACAAACTGACGGCCAACCTGGCTGCCCGGAAGCCCAGCCGACACCTCTGGTTTGCTCACCGCTACCTCAGTGCTGTGGGTCTGGTGAAGCAGGTGGAGTGGCGGGCACTGGGACACTTTCCTGATGGCCCACGCTTCCGCCATGCTGTAGCTGTTGTGGGCAACATCCTCTACGTCTTGGGTGGAAAATGCTACTACGGGGTCCGTGACACCCTGGCCAGTGTCTATAGGTGAGAGCTACAGAGGAACTAGTGGTTGCATGTAGCACCAGGACATTGTGGGATCAGAGGAGGTGTTGGTGGAGCTAGAGCTGCCCCATGGACCCAAGGCATTGCAGCATTGCAGTTGGTCAAGTGGGCCCAAGGCATTCTGGGGCTGGTTGGGTGTAGGACTAGGAGGTGCCTTCCCACTCTGGAATGTGACAGGCTCTTTGGGGGTAGGGCAGGGAGGCTCCTACCTGGAGATGCCTTAGGGCATTATGGGTTTGGTATTGCCCAGAAGGAGGGGATATTCCCATGCAAGGAGACCGTGTGGCTCCAAGGCTTTATGGAATTGGCTGGTTGTAGGTGGGTTGTTGCCCTTAGCAGTCCCCACATCACTTCGTGGCATTGTAGGTAACAGGTAGCCTCTTGCCTCTTTTCCTCTCAAACCCAGGTATCAGCCTATGGATGATTCCTGGGAGCGCCTGGCCAGCATGACCTGTGGGCGAAGCTACTTTGCTGCTGTCGCACTAGGGGATTTCATCTATGCCCTGGGGGGCAGCTCGGGGGAGATCTACTGCACAGACACTGTGGAGTGCTATGACCTGGCCAATGATATCTGGAGGTGAGACTGCTCCACATAGACTCCTGCTTTCCCCTGCCCCAGGAGACCCTTGCGTTGGCCAGTGGTGCCCATTGAGTGGTCCTTGGGTCACTGATCCTCCAATGGAGAATGGGCCTACAGTGGCCTTTGGGAGAGGTCTACTAGGTGTTGAGCAACCATGTCCCTTGGGGGTCACTGGGTGTTGGCCAGTGTTGCCTATCGGGTGGTGAATGAGTTTTTGGCAATAGTATTCACTGAAGGTCTGTTGGCCACTTGCCAATGAGACAAATCATTTAAACATTTTCCAGCTGTCTTCATTGGGTGCGCTGTTGGGTGTTGGCCAATACTGTCCATTGAGGGACTCCACTGTGGGTTGACCAATGATGTCTTTTGGGGTCTACAAAATGTTGAACAGTGATGCCCCTTGGGCATCCATTATGTGTTAGCTGATGCTGCCCACTGAGGCTCATTGGGTGTTGGCCAGCGTTGCCTGCTGACCAGTCAATGGAGCCATGGCTCACTGGGGAACTCCTGGGCAGGCAGTCACCATAGGATAGCCGTGCTTAACCTGCCCTTCACCCCCCCCCTCTCTCCTTGCGCAGGAGGTGCCAGCCCCTGCCAATGGCTCTGTGTGGGCACGCGGCGTGTGCCCTGGACGGTACCCTCTACGTGTCAGGGGGGTGTGACGAGGCCTGCCAGTGCCAGGCGTCCTTGCTGCGCTACAGCCCGGGTGAACCTGCCAAGCTCCTGGCCCCCATGAATGGCCAACGAGCTGGCCACATCATGGAGGAGGCGGGTGGGCAGCTCTATGTGGCCGGGGGGCTGTGCCAGCGGGACGGGCAGACTGGCTACAGGGACCAGCTGGCCTTTGAGGTCTACAGCCCCAAGCTGGACATCTGGGTCCTCCTCAGCCCCCTGCCCCATGCCCATGTAGCTGGGGGCGCAGCTGTGCTGGGGGGGGAACTGCTCATACTGGGAGGGTACAGTCATGAGACCTACAAGGACACCCACTTGATCCATGCCTACCAGCCAGGCACCCGGCGCTGGATCACCCGGGGCACCTTGCCCCATGCCTATACTGACCTCCAAGCCTGTGTCCTCATTGTACCGCCTGCCTTGCGTGGTCCCAGCTGCACTGAGGACCCCTTGAGATCACCTGAAACCCCCAATAATACCTAGGGGGGCTTACAAGCTCTGCACCCCATACTGGGATCCCCAGGTAGCATCCATGGGCACCTCTATGGGACAAAATTGCTCCCAGATCCTCTCCCAGAATGGGTTCCCCCTGTGGTTTCTGGTAAACCCCCACCCCCAGGGTACATGCCGTAGACTGTAGGGACCCCATGAGACACAAAGACTCACCACACAGCAATCCCATGCCTCCAGGAATACTCACTCCCCTGCCCCGAGCCCTTCACTGGGAGCTGGGGATCCCCCAATTTCCTCCCACACTTGGGTTGAATAAAAGTGGCTCCTGAACTGCCCATCTGGGTCTTGTTGTTTCTGCTGGGGAACCCAGACATCCAGATGCTTCTTGCAAGGAGCAGGAGACCAATGGCCTGAGTGTCCTGGATGGGTGGTGGGGACCAGGAGGTGGGTGGAGGGCACTGGGGCTCTGGGTGCCTGTGTTCATTGGGCATGGGGGAGGGTGTGCCTGTGTCTCAGGATTGAGAGGCATCTTGGGGTGCATGGAGGATCCTGAGGAAATAAGAGAGTTCTGGGGGTGCCAGGGTTGGGGGAGGTAGGTGGCAGGGTAGATAGGGGACACTGGGGGGTCCTGGGGGCTTTGGGGTTCCTAGGTGGTTCTGGGAGGTCTTGTCTTCCTGGAGTGACCTGGAGTGCTTGTTGTGTGGAGAGGTGGGAGAATCCTAGGGAGGAATTGCTAGGAGAGGTGTAGGTAATCGGGATCCTGGGAGATACTGGGTACCAGTGGTACCTTTGAGGAAGGAACTGGGGATCCTGGGATGTGCAGGGGAGGGTTGCATGTTCTCATGGCTCCCCAAAATAGTATTTTAGATGTGGTCTAATGAGTGCTGAGCCGAGTAAGATAATCACTTCCCTTGGTCTACTGGCTATGCCCCTGTTAACCCAGCTCAGGCTTCTGTTGCACTCTCTTTGCCGCCAAGGTGCAGTGCTGGGTCTTGGTCACCTTTCTGTCGACCAAGACATACAGGTCTTTTTCCATAGCTCTACTCTCCAGCCAGGCTGCCCCCTCACCAGCACTGTTGTGGTCTTCCTTCCAGGGTACAGGATTTCGCATTTTTCCTTGTTGACTTTCATCAGGTTTCTGTCAACCCATTTTCCAGGGTGAATGGTGCTCCCTGAATGGTAGTCCTGTTGGAAGCATACTAACTGATCCCTTCCAACCTGGTGTCATCTGCCAATACGATAAAAGCACGCTCAGTCATTGATAAAGACATGAAGCAGAAGAGTTTCCAGCACAGCCCCATGTCGCACTCTACATGCTACCATCAGCCAAGTAGAGTACGATCCATTAACCACTACCCACTGGTCCTGACCTTCACACCACTTTTTACCTGTCCAATTCTCCAGCCATTCAGAACTTGATGGCCTAAGTTGGATGCCATGACATTGTGGGAGAAGTGTCGAAAGGAATTCAAATATTCTGAGGAGGTGAGAGCCGATGCATGCTGCCCCACAAGAATGTGAGAAACAGCACCCTTACAAAACAAGAAAAGGCATCCTTAAATGTGCTATACAAGACCAGAGGGGGATGAAGAATGTCCGAAGATGTAGTAACAGTATCTGACAAAGGAAAAAAAAAATCAATGTAAAGAAACAGTTCAAACTGAAGTAATAGGGCTCTCTGGGGTCACTGGGGTCTCCCTAAGGCCATCCACGCATCCCTAGGATGCTCTGAGGGTATCTGAGTTCTCTTGGGCTGTTGCAGTCATCTCTAGAGTTGGTCAGAGGGATTCTGGGTCAAATCTGGGGTCTCTGGGGCTGTTCCTGTTAGAATCATAGAATCATAGCATTGTTTAGGTTAGGAAAGACCTTTAAGATCAAGTCCAACTGTTAACTTAGCACTGCCTGGTCCACCACTAAGCCATGTCCCTAAGCACCACATCTACATGTCTTTTAAATACCTCCAGATGCACTAGCACACATGAGCTTGACTAGCAGACACATTTGCATAGAAGGATGCTTATCTCAGCTGGCCAAGCAGAGGCACACATATCCTTCTGTGGATTGATTAATTAATCTGGCAGAAGGCCTGCTAACCCACAGTAGCTGGATGATACGTTTGGGACAGTGAGAACTGGAACAGCATTTGAGACTGCAGAAGTGATTCATATGATCTAGTTGCTGCATTTGTGCACCAGTGCTAGGGCCTGCCATTTGACCCCCTGCCAATGACAAGCTCTGTCTCCTTCTCACACGTCCCAAAATGTCTGGGTGACTTCTGCACAGGTGGTCACAAAGTTTGGCCAGCCCCTGGATACTTTGTCCTAGTGTGATCCCTTACAAGTCACATCCATCGCCCTCTGAAGCCTCCTGCTCTCCTCCCCCATTTCCAGCCATCCCATGATGGGTCATGCAGGGGCATCGACACCTACCATTTCTTAAACTTATTACATGACAGTGGGACATGCAGTGGGATGTTCCCACGTGATTCAACCCCACATGGAAAGATTACACATTTGGGGCAAAAGTCAGGAAGCTGGGTATAAGTGGACTTTTCCTCTTTATCTTCACTGTTCCAAGTACTGAAGACAATTTAGCCATTCACTGTATCCTGCCAGGACTATGGGAGGTCAAATGAAAGGAAACTAGCACCCATTTGAAATTCAGGCAAAGAGAATATTTATTCTGTGATTAACAACCTGGCACTGAATTGAAAGAATAGCGTAACTTTATGTACATCATTCAAACAGAAGCGGGTGGGACATAGAGTACAAAGTAAGCTCTGATTTCCCACATTCACCCCAAAACCAGGCAGCGGCAGCCCCACACTGTTACTTGCCCAGTTTAGGACATCTTCTCCCCCTGCCAAGTATGCAAGTAATTATTGCAGATCTAGAAACCTCAGGGTGTGCGAGAGAATACTAGAGGAAAGAGCTGGATGGCTTCCCCCTGGGCAAGCAGTTCTTTCCCTTGTAAAACAAGGCTACGTGAAGCAGAGCCACGACCCTCCATCTCTTTCTCTGAAAATACAGAAGCATTTACAAGGTGTTGCCAGCATATTTCATTCTGACATCACCGATGGCCTTGACACCCCTGTCCAGGCTGTAAGCAGAAGGGGACCTCAGGGATCTGAGGTTTGTGACCTTCAGTTTCCTGGAGAAAGACCTGAATGAAGCATTCGGAGGACTATGGTGGACCCACAGCTCCTTTGTGGTGCAGAAGGAGGAACTTGCAGGAGGACTGCGTTGCATTCCCAGGTCTTTAATCGTGCAGTAAGTGACCTCAGGGCACAACTCTACTTCCTTGATGGTACAGAACGTGGGGCGCCGGAGGGGGCTTTCAAGATACATCACAGGGCTTTCTGTTGATTCCCTCCACCTCCTCAGTGGATACTGCACCTCTTGGGTCTGCAGGGACTTGTGCCAGAAGGGCCGTCGCACCAGACACATCCACACCAGCCAGCCTGCCAGAGCCAGCACGGTTAGGACCAGCAGAGCCAAGGAGGCCAGGTAGAGCACCCAGTGCAATAGGCAGCAGTTCCTCAGCACCCACTGCCCCCACTGCGGACCCTCCCCACCTACCCGCGAGCGTAGCACAGGTACGGCCAGTCCTGGGATGGAGCACGGGCAGAAGGGGAGAGGTGCAGACTGGGTGAAGCGTGTGGTGTCCAGGGTTGCTGGCGGCGTTGGGGCATGAGTGGAAAGCACGGTGGTGGAGAGCACCGGCGTGGTTGACATCAGAGGAGGAGATGAAGATCTGACAGTGGAAGAGGCTTCTGGTGTGGCAGTAGAAGGTACTGTCGTGGAGGTGGTGAAAACCATGCCAGTGGACACTATGGGAGTAGCACGGGTGTTGGTAGTGCTGGCGGTGAGGGTGGTTTGGGGATGGCTGCTGGTGCTGAGAGGTCTGCTGCCCACAGTGGTTGGCAGTGAGGTAGCAGAGACAAGGGTGGTGGGAGTGTGCGGGGTGCTGGCGGGGGCTTCAGTGACAACGGCAGCAGTGCTGGGGGTCTGCGTGGGTGTGACGGTAGGACTGGCTGGCGCAGGAATGGTGGTACTGGGAGCTCTGGTGCTTGCAGGCATCGCAAGTGAAGTGCTTGGGGCAAGGGTGGAGCTACAAGGGGTGCTGAGGGGGGGCCTTCTGGTAGCGAGGGGAGGCCAGGTAACAGCATGGGGCATGGTAGTCTGTTCTTTGGTGATAGATGGATGTGGGGGGGAGAAGGTGACCATGGTAGATTTCTCCATTGTTTCTTCCTCATCACCATAGTCATCCTCTTCCTCCTCATCCACATCCCCCACGTTGGGGCAGTTGTGCTTGAAGTTGATGACAGGCTTGAACTGATGCTCGTCGGGGCTTTGGCACACCACCTTCTTGGGGGCAACCTCAACCTTTGTCTTCCCCAGGCCCCGCTCCGGCTGATAGACGCTGCCACTGTTTTCCCGGATCCAGGCTTGCAGGTAGCGCAGATTGCAGTCACAGTGCCAGGGGTTCTCAGTGAGGAAGACATACATGAAGAAGTGCCCCTTGGGGAAGAAGCCAGTGGGCAGAGTCTGCAGGCGGTTGCCTGAGAGCCAGAGGGTCTGCAGCGCTTGCAGATCCTGCAGCAGCTCCTTGGGGAGCTCTTCCAGTTGGTTGTCTGAGATGTCCAAGTCCTCGAGGGCTGTCAGCCCCGCAAAGACCTCCTGGGGCAGCGTCCGCAGCTGGTTCCCTCGCAGGTCCAGGTCCTTCAGGTGTGGCACAGCGCTGAAAGACCTCGGGGCCAGTGTCACCAGGCTGTTGTTGGCCACAGCCAAGTGGGTGAGCTTGGGCAGGCCCTTCAGGGCAGGCAGGGCCCCCAGCTCATTGTGGGAGAGGATCAGCTCCTTCAGGCTCTCCAGTGGGTGCCTGATGTGCAGAGACACCAGACGGTTGTTGGACAGGTCGAGGTCCTGCAGGCTGATGAGCTTCTGGAAGACCTCGGTGGAGAGGGACACCAGGTGGTTGGCATTGAGCAGCAGGATGCCTGTGTCCTCAGGTAGGCCTGTGGGCACCGTGCTGAGACCCTGCCCTGTGCAGTTCACCTCCAGGAGGTCCTTGACGCTGTTCATCTCTGACGGGCAGGGCTGGCTTGGGTCGGTAGTGCCAGCTGGGAGCAGCAGGGCCGGGAGGATGAGCAGGAGTAGGGCAGGGACCTGCATGGCTTGGAGGGGAGAGCCAAGAGGTGTGGGTGCAGGCAGGCACATACCTGCATGTCACCTTTCTTCCCACACAAGCACCGTTCACAACAGCTGGCATCCCCCGCCAGACCCTCTGGGAGCCCTCTGAGCCCCCCAGCTCCTCCCTGGGAGGATGGAAGGGAGATGTGAGTCCCACAACTACTGCCAGCACCCACCCTGTCATCTCGTCCTTGGAGGGCAGGAGGCTCAGCAAGGAGATACCAACTCTGCCCTTTTGCTCACCTCATCCTCCTCCATGGGAGGGAGAACCTGATTCAAGCGCCTCCTCATGGTGGTGCCTCCTCTGCCGGGGTGGCATTGCTGCCCTCACCACTGCAAAAGCAGTGGCTCTGTGGTGTTCACGTTCCTGCATACCCACATCCATCCCAGCCCAGACAAGCCGTGTGCTGGAAAAGGCTCCCTGACCAACACCAGCTGAACCCTCTGCTAGATTTGGGTTCACAAAGTGGGAGCACGAGTCATGTGAAAAGAGCTTCCCATGCACAGAGGTGGCTACCCCGAGTTCCCAGCCCCTGATGGACACTGCTTCCCTGGGACTCACCCATGGACCATCCAGCGTTTGCTCTCCTGCCTCTTTGCCTCCCTCCTGCCCGAGGACCAGGCGCTGCTCTGGCGGCAGTGCTAGCAGGGGGGCTGCCCAGACCCTCTATCAGCACGCACAGCTGTGGGAAGGGAGCTGCGGCTTCCTGAGCAGCCAAACCCATCTCCTGTCCTTCAGCACAGTCCTCGCTTTAACTGTGCTGCCACACCACCGTCTCCTTAGACAAGTCTCAACCAGAGACCAGCTCCATAATTTCTTGTTTCTGCACAGTAAAGCAAGGGAGGGTTGCACCCAGGAGGAGCCCTTGCATGCCCCCTTGCCCCCCAAGCTGCACCTTTTTACATCCTGGGAAAAGGGTCCCTTACACAAATGTCTGCCTTTTCCTCTGCTTCAAGGCAGCTCTTTCTCAGCATGCTCTGGGCTTCAATCCTTGAGGCACCTCAACCTGGGGACTGCAGCCTAGTTGGCAGACCAGCGAGAAACAGTTTCTGCACATTACCTCAGCTAGTTGTTTGTGGTGTAGCTGAGGGATCCTTTCTTTCTGGCTTGCCAGGAAAAATGGGGATGGCTCTTCTGGAGAGCTGAGAGGCAGCTTTAACATTTGTGGGAGAAGCCTCAGCAGAGACCAGGCAAGGAGATTAGAGGCAGAGGAAGTAGCTCGGTTTTGCAATTCCTCCTGCTGTCTGTTCCTGCAGCCAAGCTGTCTCCACTTCCCTAGCCCATAGGTCACTGCAGAGCATCTTGGACTGCAGGGCTGGAGGGTCACCCAAAAGCTGCAAGGGGAGATGCTACAGAAGAGAGGACATACTGGTTTTCTACTGTTTTCCATTCTGTGGATTGTGGTGGGTCTACCCCAGCCAGCAGCTAAGCACCCACCAGCCATTCACCCACTGCCTCTATAGCTGTATGGGGGAGAGAACTGGAAAACTAAAAGTGAGAAAAAAAACCTTTGTGGGTCAAGATAAAGACAGTTTAATAAGTGAAGGAAAGAGGGAGAAAAATAGTGATGCAAAAGCGTTCACTCATCACCTTCCACCAGCAGCTCGATGCCCAGCCAGCCCCCTTAGAAAAACTTCCTCCCCCCCAGTCCACTTGCTGTAGGGGCATTTTAGTTCAGCTTGTAGAAAGAGGACTGGAGGCAGCAACAGAAGCAGAACTTAGGGGACAATTTTTTGGCTCTGCATAAGTAATTTCCAACAGAAAGCAAGGGATAGGAAGGGAGAGAACAAATGTAACCTTGACGACCTTATAGGATCGCAGGGATTAAGCCTGTATGTTGTTGCCCCTCCTCCACAGCACTACTCTTACCCTCACCCTGGACATACAGCATCCCCCATGACATCACCAGTTAGTCTTCCACACCATGAACCTGCATTCCCAACCCACAGCCCTTATCATGGCTTCTGCCTCTCTGTCTCCCTTTTCCAGGTGGATGAATGCACTAGGACACTTTGAACCTTCAAAAGGTCCTTCAGCCCACATGCTTTACTCCCTCAAGGAGAAAGAGCAGAAGACCCAAGCAGTCCACTGCGACATGTCTTGCTGAAGGGGAAGAGGCACGCTGTACCGGCAGAAAGGGGTGCACAGGTCAGGAGTCATCTGCAGGCACACTCTTCTCATGGCTGGTTACGAGTAGTGAGGAGGAGGCCAGGAGAGATGCTGGGGTTCTGCCATCCAGGTGGGGAGAGCAAAGGAGCAGGGATGATGTCTCCTTGCTGAACCTGCTTCCCTCAGGTGAAGGCAAGAGGGAGATGAGGGTTACATCAGCCATCCTACTAGCGATGATGCTTTTGCCTCACATTTGCAGTCCACATTTTAATTTCTGCCCTAGGTTCACCTTTTTGCCCAGCCCATCAACTTCTTCTCCTGTTCCAGAGCCTGTTCCCATGCATCAGGGGTTGATCTGCCATGAGGTTGTTGCCCCAACCTTGATTTCACCCGCAGACAGTTTCGAGTGGGTGTTTGGAGGGAACAAAGTGATCCAGGCTGTTCCCCACTGCCTTTAGCACCTCACCAACACCATATGTAACTCTGGGAAATAGGAAGGAGATCATGAGGTGATGGTGCCCGAGGGTCATAGAAACATGCAACTTCATCACCCCCAGCTTGAGGAGCACGGTGCTCCTTCTCCAGTGCAGAAAGCAGGGTCCGTATCTTCACCTTCCCACAGCCTTCTTTAGGGACATGAACCACTCTTCAGAGCCCTGGCAGCAAGGGCCACCCTCATGCTGCCTGTCCCTGTAGACTTATGACACAGTTCACAGGAGGCTTTGGAACTCTCTGTCACTGGGTCCTTCAGCTACTGCAGGTCTCACAGCTGATTTGGCTTCTGCTGCATCGTGTGGGCTTGTGCATGGCAAGGAAAAAAGCTAAGACATGACCACCAGCCTCTGGGAGCATTATTCCTGGGGACTGGGCAGGCCTGGAGAGAAAGGTGAAAGCCCTCTTCGGGCTCCTCCATGGTGGGAGGATGGAGCTGCCCCGGGCTGAGCATGAACAGACCTACCCTGGCACACACACAAGTGCATCCTCTTATTTCTGAGAAGCCCATGAATTCAGCAGTAATGGTGAAGCCTTCCCTTGGGAAGGTCCGTGCTTGCTGGACATCACTTGAACGGAGGATCTGGTGTGAAAGCATGTCTGGCCTCAGCAGAAGCACATACTTCTATCCTCCCCTTGCAGGTGGCAGTTTCCACTGCAGCAAAATCTGGAATTGCCCGGAAACATGCCGCAATATGAGATGCCCTTTGGTTTCTCCAGTTTCATTTCAGCCCTCATGGGACATTCTAGGCTTGCTCCAGGCTCCTCAGCACTGTAAGCAAAAGCAGCTTTTCCTCCCCTAGAGCGACTGACTAAAGATGGGCTCCATCTCACAATGTTAGATGCCTCCAGGTCACAGGTGAGCTCGTCACCTGGGCTTGTGCTGCAGGCAGGCACAGGGACAAGCAAAGCCATGGACCAATTCCACTGACATGCCTTCATTGTATCCTGCAGGATGCAGTGAAGCATTTTCTCAAAAGTGCCTGCAACTCCCCACAGGCTAAAAGGAGGTGGAGACAAAGCCTCAGACACAGACATTTGGTGCTGACACACAATGCAGACAAATCCTGCTGAAGTAACTTTATTCTGTAGGTTTAAAAAGTGATCCCTGTTGCAGGAGTGTCTTTTCAGTGGAAGTGTTGTTCAACAGGTAAGAAAGCGAGGATGAAAGGCAACAGTCATGAGCTGCAATTGGGGAAACTCTGACCAAACATAAAGGGTTAATCCTTCCCCTTGAGGGAGGTGCAGGACCAGGGCAGAGGTCCAGAGAGGTAACAAGATCTCCACCCTTGGAGATCCTACACAATTCAGCTGAACAAGGTCCAAAGACACCTAAGGCAGCTTTGAGGTTAGCCCTGCTCTGAGCAGCTGATTGCAACAGAAACCTCCACAAGTTCCTTCCAAACTAAATCCTTCTGTGAGTCTGAACTCCTGAGGTCCCCTCAAAAAAGCCTCGTCTTACTCTCTCCCCTTCATCAGGGACACATTTTGAGCCACGTCCCAGGACCCAGCCAGACCCAAGGGTGGACGCTTATCCCCTCGAATGATGCCAGTGGAAATGTGAAGATGGGAATCTCCTCATCAACACTGAAAAATGTAACCCGTCCCTCTTCGTAATCCAGAGAGACCCGGATCCGCTTGGGAGTCTGGATTTCAGGAAGGAGAGTGCGATTAGGGGAGGTGAGAGCTTGGAAGTGCCCTGCCCACTGCCCCAGTGCCCAGATGCCCTGCTCAGGTTTAAACTCAATATCGCCCTTCCTTTTCACATCTTGTCGAGAGACGCCCACAGTCCATCCTCCTCCATCCACTACCTCCACCTCCCAGTAGTATCTCCCCGAGGTGAAGCCTTCACGGCCCAGCACACAGCGCCACGGGTTAAATCTCTCAGGGATGTCGGGGAGGTCCTGCAGCGTGTCTTCTCGTTTCACACTTTTGCAATCGTCAGACAGGACAAGGTCACAGTGGGCTGTGTCTGGATCCAGAACCACCTTCACTGCAGGACAGATGGAGTCAACATGTCAGGGCAGAGCTCACCCTAGGAGAGATCTTTGCTGGGACTGCATAAGGAAGAAAAAGGGTGCAAGCAATAACTGGCAGGCTGCGGCATGGGAAGCTGCACAAGATAACAATATTAGTGCAAGGAACAAAAAATGAAGCAGACGGATGACATCAAGTGGAGAGGGAAGAGGATCGTCAGCAGACCTCCAGGCTGAAGAAGTCCCCATGCCTCTAAAATGTGACCAGCACTGCTCACTGAGGACCAGGACTCTCCAGATTTGCCTAAAACTGGGGCATGCACCAAACGAACAGGGGGTGTGAGGGAGGGCAACTAGCAGGAAGGGAGATTAAGGCAGGGAAGATGATTCAGCACCTTGAAAGACCAAACTTTAGTTACCTTCTTCTATAGGCACTGCGTATTTTCTCCATGCTTTAAAAAAAAAAAAAGAAAACCACAGATGAGAAGTAATCTGAACACACTTGTACTGGATTAGCTCAGGATAATGATATGCCAGTGTAGCTGCACATTTTCTGAATTGTTGCTATATTTGTGAAAGTCATCTCACACTGTGTAGCTTCAAAACTTCAATGTCTAGCTACATGAAAGGACTCCATCCATTTTCTACAAATATAATCATGCTGCCTGTCCTGATTCAGACATATTTATGGCCTGTTTGTACTTTCTTTGAAAACTGAAAGCATTTTCTTCTTAGTATAAAAGGATTGCAGGGGATAGCTTAAAAACGCATAGAGAGCAAAGAAAAATAACGTTTCTGAAATGGGTTCAGTATTTCCTACCTCTTCCTTTCCCAAAAGGAAAACCAAAACCAGGACATACATGCAAAACCCAGATCAGAAAATGGCCCAACTGAAAAGTCTCCCCTGTAGGAAGGAGAACAATACTCACCAAGTTCTTCAGCTTGTCTCTCTGAAAAAGAAGATAAATCAGTACATATGGGTTGTGGGATATTGATTTGGATATAACCTCTCCCATAACCACCTGCACGTGCAGGAGGGCAGGCTTCCGCCAACGCTTGAAAATGCAAAGCCCTCTCCCACCCCCAGCCTCGAGCTCCACTCTGCAGGTGGTGGTGCAGGTTGTCCTGCTCAAATCTGGGGCAGGAAAAGGTCTCTGGGACGACCCTCGCCTACAAGGGGCCCTGTCCCAGGGCACTCTCACCCTGCCTGTGCCACCCATCCCCAGCCCCAGACACGATCTTCAAAGATCTTTCATTTTTTGATTCTCTATTTCACTCTCTCCTTCCCCCCCATCCCCCAACCACTTTTTGGTTCACTTCACACTGTACGTGTAAATTAAAAAAAGACCACCACTCCATACAGACTCTGTAAAAAATCCTTTGTAAGGAAGAAGTAAGACACTCACCGATTTCTGCATCACGGTCCTCTGAACAACAAACAGAAACACACGTGAGTTACTATTTGACAGCGTCCCTTCCCTGAGACCCCAGCTAAATGACCACACAGGTGAGGAGTGGCTGTGATGAAGGGGGCAGATCTGCTGATTTACACTCTGACTGCAAGGATGCTCATGACTCCTGAGTGAGCTGACCTGCATTTATTTTCCCCATCATTTATTTCCCTCTGCATTGGCACCAATTTAGCAAAAGCTCATTTTTAATAGCCAAAGGACTATTACTTGGCAATTCTATGAGCTACAAGCTAGTGAACAAATAAATAAAAATATATGCCCTCTTCAAGTGTTTTGTTTTTTTTTTTTAATTTCTTGGTAATCAAACTACATTTTTATAAGAAAATTCTCAACAGCTTAGGTTTCTGTAATCTTCCCCTAAAAACCAATAACTTTTCAGTACTATTTCACTACTTATATTAAAATGAGAGTGTTAAAAAGCATTGACAGCCACTCAGGGAAAAAACCCTAATGACTTTTCAGAGCAAATTTTCACATTATTAGGGGAGGGGGAAGTAAAGTACCTGCCTGAAAAGACAGAATGAGACAGAATGAGAGGATGAATAAAAAAGTCTGAAAGTTTTACAGAAGATTTCACTGGGAAGACAGGGAGTGAGACTTACGCAGTGCTGCCGCTTGCATCGCTGAAAAGCAAAACCAGAACAGAGCATCACCACCAAAGCTGATTCCTTTTCCCCTGAGACACTTGTTGGGGTGGGGAGGAGGCTGAAATTGCTTATGATGGAAAAGCTTCAGCCCAGGAGCTCCTCAAGACCTTTCTTCTCAAGACTTTTGGAAATCTTGCCCCCCGCCCCGAACCCACCTTGGGCAGAGGCCAGCGCTGCCTTGCTGGAGACCTGAGCAAGGGCAGGTGAAGATGAAGGGGCAGGTTTGCATCAACAAAGGAGCACCATGGGGTTAAATCTCACCTTCAATGCTACCTAACCTTTCCTGTCCCTGTGTTTTTTTAGTGCTGAGACAAAGGTGAGGCCTGTGCAAAATGAAATATGCTACCTCAAAGCTTCCTCCAGCTTTGGGAAGAACCTTGACAACCCTTTGAAAAGCAAAGTTCACTGTTGGTAGAACATCTGTTCACGCTTTCTTTGGTTATTCAATGGTTTTCCTTAAAATTACAACATCATTTCATAAATTCATCATTTCATAAATTAATTTCACAATTTCCTGTAGCTGCTAGCCAAACCATTTCCCTCCCCCACATCCCCGAGAAACATGCCCCATGAATTCTTCCATTTGAGGGAATTCTCCAATTTCTGAAAAATGGAAAGAAAAGCTTACCTATTTTTTGCTCATGCTTTCCTATGAAGGAAAGAAAGAAATGTAAATACTTTTTAAAATCATCCCTTCCAAAGAGCACTGATTAAACCACACCAGGAGTTACAGCCCCTTGCAGAAAGGCCATAAGGTCTGGAAGTGCTGCAGTGCCTGTACAACCCTCTGGCTCCATCTCCTTTTGGTAAGGATAGAGGATTTCAGTTTCCTTTATTCCTCTGTATTATTTACACCCAGAGGGGTCTTCCAGAAGGAAAGGAAGCCCTGCCAGGCCCCCAGAAGTGCCAGGGTTTTTTTGCAGGGCCAGGCAAATTATTGCTCCATTTCTGTGGGCAGAATCCACCCCCGGCTGGGGCAGAGGAACGGCTGGCTCATGCTGCTTTTATGCCCACTTCCTTCTTGGCTACCCTTTTTGTTGGAGAAACAACCTTTCTTTTCTTGCCAGAAATTAAATCCCTGGGTCTTTAAGTTCCCTGGCACTGTACGTGTGTCCAAGACACTGAGACAAGACTCTGGGACCATCCAGGCATTTCTCAAACCCACTTGTCTGTCAAAACCAGAGGCAGATGAATAGGACAGCTGCCCTGCCCCCTTCCCCAAACACCACACCAGGATGATACCTTTAATTTTAAATAGATAAGCAGCAATAATAAGGAGTACGACCACAGCAACCAGGACCACACACACGGCAGTCATCCAAGGATGGGCGTTCTGGAAAAAGGGATCTGAAATATAAAATCCCCAAAGGGGTTAGGTTACTTTGCAAGTAGCAATGGGAAGTAGATTATTTCTATTTCATGCAAGCTCATCCCAAGCAGGTCTGAATCCGAGCTAGGGTAAAAATCAGCTCCTGACTGTACTCCACAAACCGACAAAAAATAATATTAAAAAAAACAAAACACATTTTGGCAATTTAGCACTTGTCTGAGGATGAGGTTTTGTCTGTCTACATTGTGGGGGATTTTTAAAGGGAAAATGGATTTCTAACTAAATTATTTCTAGTTAAATCATGATTTCTTCTCCTTTGGAAAAAAATATTCTATTATTTCATTAGGCAACATAGGATCAGAAACAGGGTAACATATGCATCAAAAACAACACTCCAGTGCAGAGCAGTATCACCAGAAGAAAGGTATGGACCCCCCCCAGGGAAATAAAGTCTCCCAAAATTGTTCATTCCCAAACTAAAAAAGGAACAGGATGCAGATGAAAAGCACGTGATACTGGGGTGCCGTTTGGTGTATGGTTAGTCCAGTTCACCATTGCATCTCTGTTCTGATATATTCCCTGCCCCAAATCAATCTTCCAGTAAGAAAGGAGCTTTTCTGTGTGATAAGGAAAAAAACCCAAATATATTCAATATATGCAGATGCTAATATGAGACACAACAATTTATTTCTCATACCGAACTGGTAGAACAGGATTTCACAGCAGGTGAGACTAAGGGCACGGGTTGGTTTCTCCTTTTTTGTTTGGTTCCAGTGTTACGAATGTTTGTATTTAACCCAGGTGCCTACAGAAACTCTGCTACAATGAGGGTTGTCTTTTTTCCCCCCTAAACCCACACTTCAAGACAAAACTGGTGAATTTTGGCCGCACACCTGCACAAATGCTGCCAAAAGCCGCAGCTGTTTGTACACGCAGCGTGCAAAATACACCTGATGCACTGAAGACACAGCCTGCAAAACGCACCTGAGATTTTCTGCCAGCGGCACTTTCCAAGTGCAGCTCCACTGGGAACATTAACAGGGTGATGCCCTCGTCCTCTGCTCACCTGATATGTAAAAAGCTGATCCCTGTTCTTGACTGTGCAGGACATGTCGAACCGAGCAGGAGAGTTTCTGGTTCGTGCCCCTGGTGAGGATTATGCTGCTTTCTGCTGCAAAGAGTCCGCTCTTATCCTGGGTAACGTTTTCTGAGAGGGATGGGAGATGCCGCCCATGGGGATCTTGCCACAGCACCTGGGGCTGCGGGTACCAGCCGGCTGAGCGACAGGTCACCCAGATTCCCCCGTCCTGGTAGCGCTCCAGCGTGATGAGCGGGGCAGAGCCGCTGGCTGCGGGAAAAGAGAGACCCCTGGGTGATCCCACAGGATACTGGGGGAATAAGGTGGGCTGGCTGTTCCTTTCGATGGCGAGAAGAGCTAAACTTCAACATAGACAAATCCCAGGGTTTTTTTTAAGATGAGTGTCACCTGGAGTCAGGACATTTCTTGCAGTCTTTTTCACATAACTCAAAGATCTGCTCTGGAGGCTACTACTGCGGCAAAATAATCTGCAGACCTGGATATTAAAATATGGAAGCACGAACCAAGACATTCTTACTTTATTACCCAATGACAAATTTTTTTCTTACACCCAGTTATATGAAGAAAACAATATCAAGAACACTTCTGAAGTAGGTAGCATATCTCATGAGCTCCTTACAGCTGCTCTGTAGGGATTTTTACCTCTCTGAGACATTCTTAGTATTTTCAACCACGGCACTTAATAAAACCCTATTTCCAAAGCAACCATCTGAAATTGCTTCTGGGAAGAAGGACAGGGAAGAAAAGCACTGGCTACAAGCAAGTAAAATAGAGGTACCAGGGACATGGACTACAGACCTGTCACCTTCAGCTCCACCACAGCCTCATCGTAATCCAAGTCACGGTGAATAAAGCAGGTGTAATTCCCTCTGTCAGACAGTTGGACACGGAAAATTTTCAAGTCCACGCTGCCCTTGGCGAGGCCGTCCTTCAGCAGCTCGGTGCGCCCTTGGTATTGAAGCATCTGCTCCCCATACTGGTCCTGGCCCCCCTTGTAGCGATGCACAAAGGGCGAGAAGTGTTCCCGAAACCAGATCACCTCCGTGTCCTGCGCCCTCTGCTCTGGGGAGAAGCGGCAGGGCAACACCACATCCTCACCCATGGCCACGGTGATGGGGCCAGGGGGTCCTGTCACATTGAGCAGAGCTGGGAGAAACCCCCAGGGGAAAAGAAATAACCATGAGTTTGCTGCAGCGACTGAGCTCGGAAAGCCAGCGGATGCTGCTCCGTGCGGTTCGCGTGCTGCCGTGCCACGCCGTCACATTGGCAGCGTCACCGTGCCGGGGGAGACGAGGCATTGAGGGGAGGGCTGGGAGAGGGACCCCTGCCACGCAGCATGGTGAGTAGGCTGGAGCCAGGCTACCACCCGTTCCTCTGCTTCCCTGTCCTGCGCTACCGTGAAAGTTCTTCAAATTCCTAAAAGATTATTTGTTCTCAAGGGGACAAGTGCTGCCCATGCTGCTCAGGGTGGGAGAAAGCAGGATAAGGAATGAAGGAAGGGGCTGGAAAGTTTCTGGGTGGTTGGCTGGAGAAAGCAGACAACTTGGGTACAAATAAAACTCGAATATCCTCAGCTATTCACGCCTATTACGAGAGAAAATAAAAACATCTCAGGTGCTCTGGGCACCTTTGGAAATTTAAAAAAAAAGGCTTATTAATAAGCTGGCCACTCAACTCACAGAGAAAGTGGTTTCTGGTTGAGGGGAAAAACAAGAAAGTCAACTTTTTTTTGGCCAGGGCTGCCCTGAAGAAGCTGCTTCAGGTCAGCAATCTAACAGAAAAAGAGGGCAGAATATTTTTTAAGATATTTTTTCATTGTTTTTTCCCTTTTTTGAATTGGTTCTGCAAAGGGTCCAGTGCACCCTGGACACAGCCCAGTAAAGAGATGACATGCTGGAAATGTGCTGCAAACAGGGAAAGCAGGGAGAGAAACAGCAGCAAACCATAATCAACTCATCAGCATCATCTAATCTCCATCTGAGTTCAGCGAGGTTGTGTGAATGCCTGTCCTGACATGGCCAGAGGAATAAACCAGGATCCAGAGGGATGTTGGCGCTCTCAGAAGTGGACAAGGTTTATGGCAAAGGGCCTGACCCTGCTCTGTGCTCTGCCCTTCACGGGGAGTTGCTGCACTGGCAGTCGGGAAGATACTCAGGCTGGAAGCAACGCCACAGGGATCAGCAAGAACCAGGGGGAGTCCCTACCTGACTGCAGCTCGTGAACTTGGAAAACTAAACCATAGATGATAAAAGCCAGCAGAGAGCAGTGGAGGTGGAAACTGGAGAGCATCCTCTTCACTGGAGCACAACCTGGAGATGGGGAAGGAGAGGGAAAGGGCAAAAGGGAGGAGAAACAAGGGAATAAAAAAAAAAAGGGCAGAATTCACTTTTAAAGGGGTTTATTGCAGATTGTAGCTCCTTTTTATGATGTCTAGGGAACAGCGACAGATGCTGAAGGTTGAAATCAATTTTCCATCATCAGCCTTTGCTGATGCTTGGAAGACTTTGCTTGCTGCTTTACATATGAAGTACCCAACTGGTATAAAAAGTTGTAGGAGTTTCCAATGGGGAAACAAAGGACAAGCTGCAACATCTCCTCTAATTCTATGAAAAAGTGGCAGTTGTTTTAATATGGAGCCCTTGCTTTTCTTATCCAGCCATAAGAAAGAGATGGTAAGGCACAGGATGAGAAGGAGAAACCCAGACCAAATACATGTGGAGCTGGGGCTGTGTGCTTCTCCTCTGGGACAAATTCAGGACTCAGTTAATAGCTCATCCCCTGCCACCACACTGAGGGTGGGAAGAGGTCTCAGACCAGGGAAAGCAAAATAATCAAAACAGTGATTCAACACCCAGCCAAGATGGGACTTGGTCCTTCTCTGAACCCCACCCCAAATCCTCTTATCACTCGCTGACTTGGTCCCGGCTTTGTTAACAAGAAGTGAAAACTATGACCAATTTTGGCAGATGGCAGAAAGCGATTTCAATCCGCAGCATTCCGAGAGATGCCACATACCTGGAGGCTCCGAACTCGTGGGCTCAGGGCTGGGGCAGCGGTTGCTCGGCCATCATGTACTGCATCCAGAGGGGCCACCCCAATGCGAGCTATCCATTTCCGTGTTCAAAAATGAAACAAAGAAGTCACTCTGCATCCCAGCCTGCCAACTGTTTCCTCCTCCGCTGCCTCCACTCAAAAATGAAAGTCACCGAGTCATTTGGGTTTTTTTCAGCAATGCTTTTGCTCCAGAAATGCTTTTCTGACAACATCGACAGGCACGGCCCTGCCACAGACCCCCTCCATGGCTGCAGATCGCAGCCTCCTCCCACAGCTCTCCCTGGACTTGGGAGGGATTGGAAACTGGCAGCAGTTTGCACGTTCCCTTCCCGGAGGGAGTGGAAAGGAGGAGGGTGACTGAGCTGGGATTCGCACCCAGAGGCAGTGCCGGGGTGGGAGCAAAGCCCAGCACTAGCTTAACAATTGCTTAAAAGTAATTCCTGCCCCGGCCAAAAGGTGAGGCCATTGAGGATGATTTGTTCAGGGAAAGATGCTGCCCTGAGATGTGTTGCGAAGGCAGCCCCGCAGGGCGCTCAGCCCAGCCAGGTCCAGCAACCTCCCGTCCCCAGCCAGGAGCGCGGGCGCACGCGGGAGGTGAGAGCATCTGCTCAGGTAAAGGGACCCGATCAGGGACCTTGCTAAAAGGGATGACAAGGAAAAGAGGGAGATGATGAATGAAGCGTACAGAGACACAGACCTGGCCAACAAATGATAGCGGAGATAAGTGTAATAAACCAACCTCATCACTCATAATATCGCTGGGCTATGACAAATCTGCAGGCATCACTTCAGAAAGGGGCCAGCCCGGCTTTTGCGACTGTAAGGATGCAAAGCCGGGGATCCCAGATACTGGGGGGTGTCAGTGGAAGTATGTGAACAGCTAAAGGCACGTGCGGTGGAAGGGAATCAGGGAGGACAAGGTGGGGGACAGACAGAAAGGGGTGTAAAAGGGACCAGTTGCGGGTAAAACGGAGCCAGTCAGTGCGCTTGGCTGGCTGGCGAGTCGGAGTCCCCAGGTCCAGGCAGGGGTATCAGGCAGGCGGAAGGTCCACGCTGGTGTCTGGGAGGCCCCCGAATGTGGGGTGCCTGTGGGCTGAGTGTGTGAGTGCTGCGTGTTTGCGGCAAGCATCAAGCTGGACCAGCTGGCGAGCTGAGGACCCGTGGGGAAGGCGAGAGGGCCGGGGTCTGGGCAGGGTGCTGGGCAGACAGAGGGGCCGTGCTTCTGCTTGAGGGATCTGCAAATGTGCACATAAACGCAGAGAGTGTCGCGTGTGTGCCTGCACTAGTGACCTCCTGCCTCTGCCAGCCCGGGGGACGTGGCTGCCTGTGCTGGTGGGTAATGTGGGTCCTGCAGGTGGGTGCTGTTCGACCGGCTCTGTGTGTGTGTGTGTCTGGGATAACTTCGTCACTGGTCGACCCTGAGACAGGAGGTTCAGCAGCAGCTGCTTGCGTATACTGGATGCGAGCAGCAGCCCCCACTGTGCCATGCCCGTGCCACCATGCGACGGTGGTCCCTGACTGAGTAGTCCCTGCTGAGCCAGTCTGTCCCCAGCCGTGCCTTCCCAGGCCCCTGTCCCAGCGCCAGGCAGCAGAGCCACCTGGCAGCAGGTGCCCTCACACTCTGCTTTGCTTTGTGCTCGACTGGTGGCTTTCAGAGTGATCTGACAAAGCAGAGTGGGTGCCGCCTCCCAAGTTCCCTAAGAGCAGGGGTGAGGCCATCACCCCTGGGCACATGAAAAGCTGCCTAGAGAACAAAGAGGTGGGATGCAAAGCCCAGCACCTGCTGTCCCCCATTTACCAGTTGAGCAATCGAGGCAACACGTGCCCTGCAAACATCTCCACCCTGAAACCCATTGGCAGCGTGACAAGTCTGGGCAAGCAGTGCCTGTAAGGAGCCAGACCTCTTCCCTCATCACAATACGCAGCCTGGACACCCAGAGCGCAGCCACTGGTCTGTAGCTGGTGTCCCCAAATGACATCCCACTGGGCTGGAGATGCACATGGTGCCACTGACCTAGAAGGGCTTTAAGCTACAGGAAAACAGAGCCTTTTCCAGCGGTGCAGCAGGCTCTTATCACCTACCTGCAGCTGGCCGAAGGGAGGGGAGACGCGACAGATCCCGTGATACAAACAGGACAGAGGCACTGCAGGAACGTTGAGAGGGAACTCCCAAATTCAAGTGTTAGATGAGGTCACACGCCCGCCAGCAGCTTCAGGGCACGGGAGACTGTTGCCAAGAGGAGGGAAGGTGGCAGCTCCAGTGGTGTGATCCCCCCCAGTGAGGTGAAGGTGCTGGACTCCCAGCTGTGCTCTCCAGACCACTCCAGCCCCTCTGGACCTTGATCTGTGCACTCGAACAAGCTGGAAATGCTTTTCAAGCCCCCTCCAGCCATGAGCTGCTGAGGAGATCAGGGGAGTGGAGAGCAGTCTGAAGACCTTCAGACCCATCCAAAACCTCCTTTCCTGGAGCCAGCCTGCAGGTGAGTGCTGGCTGTCTAAAAAGTGCCTGAATGCTGTGACTTCTCCATCAATCCTTCTGCTTCTTTGTCATCTTTAGGCAGTCTCTGAATCTTGTAATTTCCACTTTCAACAGGGAATCCTGCCTCCCCACCTGCTGATTTTCTGCAGATGTGCTGGTATCCAGGATGGAGAGAGAAGAGAGTGAGACCCTGGCCAATGAGGTGGAAGAGATGAGTGGAAGAGGTGGGTTTTCAGCAGGGAAAAGGAGGGGGAACTGTCCTCTGTTGAGGAGAAAAAATGCATCCTGCTTCTGCTGTGGAAGAGCTATTTAGGGTCAAAGCACCCGGGGCTTGTCCCAGCCTAGGCTTGTCATGGGGTTGAGACTTGGTGGCTGCAACACCCCCAGCTGAATTCCTCGTGCTTATCTGTAGACCACACCACCAACACCAGAGACACCTGAGCTGCCATCCTTGGCTCCCTCCATTGCCCACAGAAAGAAACAGGAATCTGGGGCCATGGGTCATTGGTCCTGGGGTATCATCTACAGCGGTCTGCACTGGTTTGTGCCCAGACGTGCCTGTTTTGTTCTGGCAGCACTAGAGACACCCAAGCTCAGGTGCAGGTGTCTGCACAGCAGATGTGCACCCATCCACTCAGGTGCATCCTCCTCCAGGAAACTGAAGTCTCCTTGGCCAGGGATCGCATGGAAGCTCCTGGATGAGGAGCAGGGGCAGGATCAGGGCGGCTCTGAGTCTGGGGCAGTCCAGCAAGAGGGGGTTTCCCACCCCACCCTGGACATCTCTGGGCAGGGGAAAGGAAATTGCCCTCTCCCTTCTCTTGCTGGGGTGGATGCAGCCCCGATGCACCCCTGGGGCTGCCTGTCCTGAGCAGCTTCTCCTCCTCTGTCCCCAGCCGACGTGACCCTGGACCCAGACACCGCCAACCCCTTCCTCATCCTGGCTGGCGACCAGCGAGGCGTGGGACGGGGGGATGAGTGGTCTTCGCTGCCCGACAACCCCGAGCGGTTCGACACGGAGCCGTGTGTGCTGGGCAGCCAGGGCTTCACTGCAGGGAGGCACTGCTGGGAGGTGGAGGTGGCCAAGGCAGGGGACTGGTGGGCTGTGGGGGTGGCCCAGGAGTCTGTCAGGAGGAAAGGGGTCCTCAGTTTTACCCCCCAGGAGGGGATCTGGGCCGTGGGGCAGTGGTTTGGACAATACCATGCTTTCACTGATCCTGACTGGACCCCCCTGCACCTTGCCTGTCTCCCCAGGGCCATCCAGGTCTGCCTGGACTTCACAGACAGGCAGGTGGCATTTGCTGATGCTGAAAACAAAGCCCCAATCTTTGCTTTCTGCCTGGCTTCATGTCCTGGGGAGAGGCTATGCCCATGGCTCTGGGTGGGGATGGACTCGTGGCTCAAGCTGTGTCCTTGACGCGGAGGGAGCGTGGGTAGCAGGAGGGGAGACTGGAAAGGCAAACACCATCGTCTTGGGGCTTGGTGCTGGGAACTGGGAGGGTCCTGCGTCCTGCCAGCCTCTCCTCACATGGTTCCTCTGGCCACCAAGTGGGAGGACTGTCAGGTCTTGGAGATGGACACCGCCAAAGAGGCTCCTTCATCCCCACCACCTCA